TTTTTTTTTTTTTTTTTTTAAGAAATTTCATTTGAGCTATAGGGAAGAACTGAAAGAGGGTGCTAGAGGGCTGTTTTTGGCTTAGGGTGGAATTGTTAGTTTGTTCCCGTTAATAAGAACCCAAGTTAGATTGTCCCCCGAGAGCTGGGGTTGCCAGCAGTTGTTTGCCAAAATGATTTTATCCATATCCTTTTTAGCAGGAAAATATTTGGGAAGAAAATTATATGCTGTGTGTCCTTGGGCTATAATTTTTTTTTTTTTTTTTGGTGCTGGTGATCGAACTCAGGACCTTGTGCTTGTGAGGCAGGCAGTAGAACCCTGAGCTAAATCCTGGGCCCTATAATTCTTTTTCATACAACAGCTGCCTTTCTTTTTTTGTGGAGGGCTAACCAGGGATCAAACTTGGGTACTTGGGCTTGCGCAGCAGACGACGAAACCACTGAGCTAGATCCCTGGCCCTATCAGCTGCCTTTCTTTTCCACATGGCCTTCCTGGTCTTTGGTCTCTAGCAGAAGACAGTTTGAATTTTGTAGCTATTGCAAATTGGTATCTAATTTAGTTACTATGACAACTCTTCTGGAAAATCCAATTGTTTCTTTTTACCCTCTTTCTGACAGTTTAAACTTGAAAGAAAAGCCAGAGGAGAAGCTTATTGTCCTTGGGTGTAGGAGACAACCAGGAAATTCTCTGGTCTGTTCATATATTTATCCAGCCTTTACTTAATTACCTACTATATAGCTGCTTTGAAGGTAGAGTAGATGTACAAATGAGTAGTCTATAGAATTTAAGAATATGGAAATTGTTGCTTTTCTTTTTTTCTTTTTTTTTTTCTTTGTTACTGGGGATTGAACTCAGGGCCTCGCACTTGCCAGGCAGGCACTGTGCCGCTGAGCTAAATCCCTGGACCTGTTGCTTTTCTTTATTGTTTTTTTTTTAAAGATTTGGAGCAATATTTTAAATTTATAAAAGTAGAATTAATACAAGAAATATTCTGGATTATAAAAGAATAAATTCACACTCTAGTAGTTTTATTAGTATAAAAATATATAAAAACATAAATGGAATCATATACTTACGTTATTTGACCTATATTTGTATTGGTTTGTTCATGGTTTTATAAATTTTTATGGGCAGGGGGGTATGTGTGACATTCACATGTTTCTTGCAGTAGTATTTGCAATTTAATTTAAACTTCTATGGGTGTGTGTGGTGTGTGTGCTGGTAGTCCTAACTAGTTGGGAGTCTGAGGCAGGAGGATAACTTGAGCCCAGGAGTTCAAGACAAGCCTGGGCAAAAGACCCTGTCTTTTTTTTTTTTAATTCATTAAGTTTATTGGTACATTTTAACTATACAATATGATGACATTCATCATTGGGAATTTGTACCTTTACATGATATATCTTGGTTCTTATTTTTTCCCCATTCCCCTGCCCTCCCTTCAACCCCTCTACCTCTCTCCCTATTTATGAAGACTTTGTTTCCCTTTTTTTCCTTTTCTGATATTTATTCCTTTCCCTAACAAGACCCTGTCTTGTAAAAAGCAAAGCCAGAAAACTCCTGTGAATCAATAAACATTATAACTACTTCATTTTTATGTGATAGTAAATCTAATTTTTATTTTGGTCTTCTGTATCTTGAACTTTCTTCATTTGGCTTTTCAAAGATTTATTACTGTAGTCAAACTAGGTAACATCTAACATTTTAGAAGTTTTTTCCCCAGTATGGTGAAGAATGTGAAGACACTACCAGCCTTGTATAATCTGAATATAATAATTTTAATTAGAGGTTCTTTTTGTTGTTGTTGTTGATTTTTGTTTTAATTAGAGGTTCTTAATCTGGTTCATAAAGTCAACAAAACCCCTGAAATTATATGTAATATTTAATTAAGTGTATAAACATTTTTCTGGGAAATAGTCTGTAGCTTTCCCCAGATATTCAAAAGACAATGTATAGCCAGGCATGGTGGTGCACACCTGTAAATCCCAGCACTCTGGTAGATTGATGCAGGAGGATTGGAAGTTCAAGCCCAGCCTGGGTAGTTTAGATACTTTAAAGACTCAGACTGAAAAAAATGCTGGGTATATAGTGCAGTGCGAAGGTCCTGGGTTCCATCCCCAGTACTGGAGTGGGGCAGGAGTGTTCTGTGGCTCAGAAAGTAGCTAAAACCTTCACTGTAAAGGAATTTTAACTACCTTTGTTTCTTTTGTTTGAAAACACATGCAACTAAACTAAACTTTGTTCTATCTTACACTTCCCTAAATCTCAAGGTATTCAGTGAGAAAAAATAATTTTCCTTTCCTTTACATTCTCTTCCCTGCCTCGAAAAAACACTTAAGAATTCATTATCTCCCCTTTCCCAGATTCATTCTTTACTACCTCAGGAGGTGTTTTGGTGTTTTAGCTAGCTGACTATGTTTTGACAATCCTCATAAAACCATAAAACCTGAAACTAGAAATTCACTGTGGATTCTGAATTCTAAAACTGGAAAAGAACGTCAGCAGCAAACCTTTGGACAGTTGGGATGGTAGCTTCAGTTCTAAGCTTCAGTTTCCTTAGGACTTCACTCTGGGAAAGAGTCTGAGGCCTGTGGGGGAGTCAGGGTGTAGGGAGCCCACTGGCCCTGCTGCTGCATCGGAGGAAAGGAGGGTAGAGAAGGTAGCATCTGTGCCAGGCTTTGCCGTCACTGTCTCCGAGATCTGAGCCAGCCAGGGTGTGGCTGTGCATGGAAATCAATCTGAAAAAAGTATTGCTATGCTCAATTTAAATTTCTCCAAGGAGAATAGAAATTTAAGTACCTAAGGAAGAGTTCTGACCTTCCCTGACTCTCTGTCCTTTCCTTTTGTGCAGGTGGATGGAAGCGTGCCTAGGGGAGGACCTGCCACCAACCACGGAACTAGAAGAGGGGCTTAGGAACGGGGTCTACCTTGCCAAACTAGGGAATTTTTTCTCTCCCAAAGTGGTATCCCTGAAAAAAATCTATGACCGAGAGCAAACCAGATACAGGGTAAGTCCTTTCTTTTGTAAACTTGAAAAAGAATGAGAGCTATTGAGAAATACAGGCAAAATGTGTTTGTCCAACAGAGTAAGTACAGTGTTCAGAATGCCTGACAGAATGGAGATAGTACTGCAAAGACAAAATTAGTAGTAAAAGAATGTTAGCTGTCTTTATTTCTGGTAGAATTCTTTTTTGGTGCTAGGAGTTGAACCCAGGGCCTCATAAATACTAAGTAAGTGCTGCACCACTGAGCTACACCCTCCAGTTCCCAGTCAAATTCTTATGATAAGGATTTGTATCTAGAAATTTTCATACTCCCAGACAAATTTTTTCATTCTTAGAAAGTAGAAATAACTAGGGGAATTACTACTTTAAGCCTAATTTTAACCAAGCACTGAGACTTGTTTGCAAATTGAAAGCAATAACAACTTTAGGAAAAAGTGTCAAGGGCCAGGAATTTAGATCATTGGGTCTGTGCCTGCCTTGCAAGCGTGAGGCCCTGAGTTTGATCCCTGGTACCAGGGGGCGGGGGGGAGTATCCCTGCAATATTGGATTCAAGGTAAAATGGAAAAATGACCTTAATTTCAGAAAATTAAAATAAGTGAAAGGGTTTGATTCCTGTGACTTGAGGCCCTAAAAAAGAAGACTGTTTAAGTTGGGATGTTAACAAGGACCAAATTCTGTTGTTTATAGAGTCCCTTAAGGGAGCTTACCTATAAGCGCTTATTTGAAAAAAGTATAAAAGGTAGCATAACTAAGAGTGAACTTACTGTTTGTTGACGGACAGAATTGGACCAAATGGGGGCTGGGGATTTAGCTGAGTGGTTCCACCGCCTGCCGCGCAAGCGCAAGGTCCCAAGTTCGATCCCCGGTACCAAAAAACAAAACAAACAAAACAGAATTGGACCAAATGTCTTAGTTACCTAAGGCTGCAGATGGCTTGAAAAGAGGCTTTTAAAGTTTGTTTAAATTCAAGAGAAAATGAAGAGTGTGTAGATTCTGAACCAAAATTAATATCCTAAACAGAAACTTTTCTTAATCAAAAAACGGAGACTTGGGCAGGATACCTCAGTGGTAGAACATATGCTTAGCATCCACTAGGCCCTGTTTTTTGTTTATAAAAACAAACAACAGCAAAACCCATGAAGACTTAATATATTGAGTTTTAAGTAAGGATTTATTCTGAAGATGACTTTGGATCTGCTCTCACAGAATAGTGATATGGTAAAAGAGGACTGCAGCAATATATCTATACATACACATTCACACATATTGTTATTTTAAAATCCTCTCTACTTTTCTTGAGAGTAATTATTGCTAAAAAAAAAAAAATAGACATAGAGGCTGAGGATGTGGCTCATTGGTAGAGTGGTTCCATTCTCAGCTCTGCTTAAAAACAGCGACATAGAGGTTTGGGGGGTATTTTATTTTATTTTATTTCACATTACAGGTACTTGTATTGAGCTACATCCCCATGCCCTCTTTCCTGTTTTTTTGAAACATGGACTCACTGAGTTGCCCAGAGTGGACTCTCACTTGTGATCCTCTCATGCTTTGGTCTCTCAGAGTGCTGGAATTACAAGCCTGCGCCATCACACCTGGCTTAGAGGGTGTTATTTTTCACATATACTGTGAAAGTCCTGATTGATGTATTTTATAGTGTCTGTTACTTTATAAGTCTTTTTATCTGTTCAGGTGCTACACTAAATGCATTATGTATATTATCTCATTTAATCTTTGCAAAGATGTATATAGTAGGTGATGTACAAGAGAACCCTCAGACTGAAAGGCTAAAGTGCCTTGTCCAGTGTCAATTGTAGATGACCAAGCCATGAATTGAATTCAGGATAATACCACTCCAAAGACCATCTTTTGTCGAGCACACTGTACACAGGAATGCTCTCCAGGTGGTTTTTAGGGAGAGTAACTGAGATAGGGATTCGGTTTCTTGGTGTTGGAGTGTGGGCATAATGACCTTAGCTTGAGGACATTGTGAGCTCTCACGAGGAGAGCTTTTGTTTAGTATTTGCTAGTACTGCCTGATGCTCTCTTATTCCTTCTAGGCAACGGGCCTTCACTTCAGACACACTGATAATGTGATTCAGTGGTTGAATGCCATGGATGACATTGGATTACCTAAGGTAACTTACCTGATAGTCATAGTTCTGGCTGTTTTAGAGTAATAGTTCTCATTCTGTTTGTAGGAGCATTCCCAGAATCTTTGGCTAATTTTATTTTTTCTGTTTGCTTTAGGAATTATCTTTGTTCTTTTTTGTGTTCCTCATACCTATTTTGCCTCACCCTACAGAAAATCCCTATGATGTTTACTTTTACTATATAAATTGTAGATTTACATTAAAATGTCTTTCTGAGATAGAATTCACATTCTCTGAAGCTAACCATTTTAAAGTGTATAGTTAGTAGTGTTTACTTTTTCACAAAGTTGTTACAGAAAAATTTGAAATTAGCTAATATTTTAGACATGTCATTTTCTGGCTTCAGAGTAACCAAACCTGTAGAGAGTGAAGAAGGGTCATTGCATATTTTAAACTGTAGAAGAAATGACATTACTTTCTGTACATAGTTTTGATGATGGGTGTAGTAGTCTTGATACAGGAGCATACATCCTTTGAGTATTTGGCTTAGGAGTTTATTTAGGGCTGCTCTTAGAAAAATCGCCATCTCCAACTGCCCAGGAGTTTTCCATAAAGGCCATGCTGTATTATCTCTCGTAATGGCATGGTTAGCATTCTTTTCTTTTTTTCACAAGTTTGTCTTTGACCAAAGAATTCCACTTCTAGGAATTTATCTTCTTAAAAGTAATCAGAAAAGCATATACATATATGTACATACATACACATACATACATGCAAGGATTTTCTACCATTGCTGATGGCAGAAAACAATTGGTAACAAACTACCTGTTCCTCCACTGGGTATATGGTTTCTGTTAAAGCCAGTGAAACACTAGTACCATTCAAAAGGTGTAATCTCATGTAGTCTTTTTTTTTTTTCTTGGTACTGGGGATCGAACTCAGGTCCTTGCGCTTGCGCAGCAGGCGGTGGAAACCACTGAGCTAAATCCCCGCCCTCATGTAGTCTTTGATGTATTAGGTAAGGGCAGGCAGACCAGTTTAAGGTTTAAAAGTTTGACTAAGACGAGATCATGATTTTTGTGTAAAAATAAAGTGAGCATTCTTGGGAAAAATCTGTAAGGAGATACTTTTCTTCATTTCTGTGTGATGGAAATAAGGGGTGGTTTTTATTGTCATTATGCTTTTCTGTAGAGTCCAAATTTTTGTAACCAAAGAAAAAGAAAGTAAGTGAGGGGCCGGGGATTTAGCTCAGTGGTTCCGTCACTTGCCTAGCAAGTGCAAGGACCCGAGTTCGATCCCTGGTATCAAAAAACCAAACCAAAACAAACAAACAAAAAGAAAGTAAGTGAGGTATGGAGTATCAGAAAGTGGCCAAAACCCTTTGGAAGTGAATATTTGGTATTTAGTGTACTGCTGAGCTTGTTGTCATGTACATATCTGTTGAACTGAGTTAAATCTAGAGTTGAGTGTTTGCAAAAGACCAACTTCTACCTTTTTTTTCCCCTCTCCCTGAGCAAAGTATTAAAGTTCTTTTCTTTGCCATGCTTGAGAATTAGACTCCAGGAAATGAATATGTCAAGTTCTTACAGCTACTTGGCCTTTCTGTGCACCTGTACATGAGTGGGCAGTGACAGTTTAACCTCTTTTAAATGGTCCTAAGAGCTTTGTTAATGTTTGCGGTTGCTAGGAGTATTGTTATTACAAAATGCCTTTTCATTTTATTTTATTTTTTGTTTGTTTGTTTATTTTTTGAGCCAAGATCTCACTGAGTGGTCCAGGCTGGCCTTGAACTGTCCGAAATCCTACTGCCTCAGTCTCCTGAGTGCTGGGATTACATGTGTGAGCCACCATGCCCAGCCAAAATGCCTTTTTAATGATACCATTGTATTACCTGTTGTCATATAATAACATAGCTTATTGTCTTGGACCGTAATTGCAACATAGAATTACTAAGAGGCTTTCAGAGACAGCATGGTAACTATTTCTATAAGCCATGTGAACCCTGAAATACCCAGCTTACATGATTTTAGGTCCAGAAGGCTTCTGAAAAATATGAACTAAAGATATTTAGCTAAAAATGTATTGTCACACCTCATACAATGTGTGATATGTGTTTTGTAATATATATACAGTGTTTCTTGGCCATCTTTCCTAAATTCATTATGTGGTATATGTAGGTTAAGTGTAGAAATTTATATTAGGTCTCTGTCCTTAACCCTTATTATCATTGGTACTGTTTGCTGCCTTCTCCTTGAAATAGTTTCTTACGTTGAGTTTTCACTTTGTTTTTAGTCTGCCCACTAGCCTTGCTTTCTTTATTCCACCTCCATTTCCTATTGATGAGCATTCCTAAAGATGCAATCCTTATTTTAGCTACTTTCTCTCATTCTTTTTTTTTTTTTTTTTTGGTACCGGGGATCAAACTTGGGTCCTTGTGCTTGCAAGGCAGGCAGCGGAACCACTGAGCTAAATCCCCGGCCCCCTTCTCCCATTCTTGTGGTTCCAGTTATTGTAAAGATTATTTGCTACGAGGAAATCGTGGTATTTTCTCCTTGGGTAGCTTTCTGTTACCTAGAAGTTAACATATCTAAAATTAAAACTTTTCCCCAAGTAAATTTTGTTTGTTTGCTTGTTTGTTTGTTTTTGAGACAAGGTCTCACTATGTAATTCATACCGACCTTGAATTCACTGTGTAGCCCAGACTGGCCTGGAACTCACAGCGATTCTCCTGCCTCAGCCTCCTGATCCCCAAGTAAATGGTCCTTCTTTCCTTCCCTCCCCCTCCCCCTCTGTCTCCCCCCTCCTTTTCGTTCTCCTCCTCCCCCTCTCCCTCTGTTCTTTCAGCAGAGTCTTGCTGTGTTTTCTGGCTGGCCTTAAATCCCCAATGTAGCCCAGGCTGGCCTTGAACTCACAACAATCCTTCTGCCTCAGCCTCCCAAGTGCTGAGACTACTGGTGTGCATCATCATACCTGGCAAACTTTTTCTCTAAAGTATGGTACCATACCTAATCCATCATTATTACAATCATCCATACTCAAAACCTTGTTGACACCTTAGATTCCTAATCCAATTCCCAAAACCTTCTTCATATATTTGAAATAGCCCTTTTAATCTATGCACTGTTACAACAGCCTCCCCATCTCTGGTCTCTTCATTATTCAGTATAGGCCATGTCCTGTCTCTAGTCAGATCTTCCCGAGGCTGTGTTGTTATCCTTAGCTTCAGGGCTAGGATACTTCTTTATATTCTGTTTACCAAGTTCAAACTCATCTGACTTTTGAGGTGCCTAGAATAATATGATTCCATCCTACCTACACAACTGTATTTTTCCATTAGTTTCTAGGATGTATTCTGTACATTTTAGAAATTAATAGTCTGACTTTACTAGCTGATATGGTTATTCTTGCTTTCTTTTTGCTATTTCTCTCAGTTGAAAAATCTTTTTCCTCTACTAAGACTCACTTATTTCTTCAGTGTAGGAATTCACAGTCTTTCCTCCTATAAGTCTTGTTGCTCTTGAATTTCTTTGGATCGATTCATTCAGGGTTTTTTTTTTTCTATCTACTGTTACCCTTTATTTCTTAAAACCATAGAGTGAGTTTTCTACATTAAGAAATGTAGAAATTCTACCTTGGAACAGATCTGGCCCAAAGAATTTAGATAAGGAACTGTGTACCTATACTGTGTTTTGTTTGCTAATCAGCAAGTAACCAAGGAGAAGTACTTATCTTCCACCTTCCCAGATAGGTTTTCTATTCTAGCTACTTCATTTGTGCATTCTCCCACTTCCTCCTTAATATTTTATAATTTTCCATTACTGTCTAAATGTAGCAGCTTGTACAAACAAAAGCACATGCTGAGTGTTGAGGTATAAATCTAGGCATGGTAGATAGAAAATAGAAAGATCGTGGTTTTTCAAGCCTCAGACACTTGGAAGTGATTGAAACCAGAGTAGAGCTTGGGTTTCATTTGCCTGTACCTGAGTCTGAAATAAGTAAATCACCTCCATATACCAAGTGAAATTCAGTGGAATCAAATAGAAATTTTGCAGATAGTACTTTTCATGCTGTACTGTAGCATGTTATTCCTTGAAGTATTTGCGATTATGTGTCTGTTCATCCAAATGAAGTTGTTGAATGCCAGCAGGGTTTTCTAACTGTCCATAGTTTTATTTGTATTATTGGTGATGGGTGAATGAGCAAATGAAACCAGTGGATCAGTAACTTAATCTACTTCTTTTATTTTTCCCTAGATTTTTTACCCAGAAACCACAGATATCTATGATCGAAAGAACATGCCAAGATGTATATACTGTATCCATGCACTCAGGTAAGTAGATTTTCTTGATAAAATAAGCAGTTTAGGAACAGTATCTCAATTGAGAATCTTTTTGTCCATGGTGTAAGAATAAACTTTTTTTTTCATTAGTTTCAGGATTTTAAGATAAGATAGAATGCTAGTATCTTCACAAAATGGTGAGAAACAGCTGTGTTTTTTTAGGGAATAGAGAGAAGGGAATTACTTATTCCCATAATAACATTATTTGGTTCTAAAAACATGGTGAAATCTTTCATTATTTACCTAGTATCTCTGTGAACTCTGCATTTCACTTGGGATATGGTCTCTTTTCTGTAGTCATCTAGGTTCTTGCCGTTATTAAGCCATTTGCCATTTGTTCATTCTTTTTTTTTTTTATACCAAGGATCGAACTCAGGACCTTGTGCTTGTGAGGCAGGCAGTAGCACCACTGAGCTAAATCCCTGGTCCCCCTTTCTGTTGTTTTTTTTTTTGTTTTAGTTTTTTGGTACCAGGGAGTGAACTCGGGTCTTTGCGCTTGCCAGGCAGGTGGTGGAACCACTGAGCTAAATCCCCGGCCCCCCTTTTTGGTTTTTTGAGGCATAGTCTCACTATGTCGTCCAGGCTGGCCTTGAATTGTGGCAATTGTCCTGCCTCAGGTTCCCAGTTACTAGGATTACAGATATCCAACAGGGTGCTTGGTTATTTGTCAAATAGTTTTTATACCAACACAAATATGATAATAGGAACTAAAACAAAATATGTATTTTTCAAAATTTCCTGGTAACTTTGGAAGATGACTTAATTTTAGATCTTAAAATCTATAAGATACTAAATTGGAAGGAAAAGATGCTGTGCCTGGAGGGAGGGTGGACTAGAAAGGGAGAAGGTGCTCACAGTATACTGGAGTGGTGTGGAAGAGAGGTGTAGCATTCAGCAGATGGTCTTGATGGCAACAGGACACAAAGAGATGATGGTAAGAGTGAGGGGGACATGACACAAGGTTTCTTTGCTCAGACTGCTCTTTTTATGTCATATCTTACATGTATACTTCATAAATGTTAATTGCGTGAGTGAATGGGTAAGATCAGTCTAGAGCACTGTTGTTCCCAGTTTCTTTCTTTTTCCCTTGAGGGCTGAATCCAGGATCTTGTGCACTCTGAGCACGCACTGCACCACTGAGCTGTCCCCCCAACCCTGCCACCAATTGTTTGGTTACACATGCTGGGTCCTTGGTATCACTGAACCAGTGTGAAACCCAGAAAGAATGAATGTCACTGAGGATAGGGGGATCTCTGTGCTGAGAATGTAGCAATTTCAGATGTATGTATCTGAGCCAGATTGATTCTGAGACTTGTGACTCAGTGTTCTGTGAAGTCTGTCTGCAGTGATCACCTCGCCAAGACTGCACCACAGTGGCTGTTAGAACTCGGGAGGCACAGAGGCAAAGCTGGCAGGATTCCTCTCTGCCAGTTCTGGAGCCACCTGTGTAACCTAGTCCCAAGCCCTCAATTCTCTTAAATACATAGAAATACAGGCAGATCAACCAGGCCAGATGGAGTCAGAATGCTGAAGGGAAGGAGTCCAGTGCTGTTTATGCTTTGAAGCCGGGCATGTGCAGTCTGTGGTTAGGAAGTCCACACAGAGCAGAGCAGAGTGTCCCAGCATGGAGGTGACGGTGTCTTCCTCCTCCTGGTGTTTCTCCTGAGGACTGTGTTAGTGGGCTGGACAGTTGAAGGAAGCAGAGGTGACCACTCAGAGCTTCCTGCTTTGACCAAAAGATGCAGCAGTGCTCAGGGTACTTCCCACATTGTCTCCCCGGGGGTTAGGGGAAACACTGTTGCTTTTTTCCCTTGTTTTAAATCATTTTGAAGTCTTGCGTGGCATCATCCCAGAGGTGGTCATTGTACTTCAGTCAGACTATGTTACTGTATGAGTAATACTCCACTCTCCTGTATTCTGAATATATTTGTATAATTTCTTTTCTTTTTCTTTTTGGTACCAGGGATCAAACTCAGGACCTTGCACTTGCAAGGCAGGTGCCGGAACCACTGAGCTAAATCCCTGGCCCATATTTGTATAATTTCATTTCCTCTGACATTTTGGTATTTCTAAAAACTGATTTGGGGGTTAAATGGGCCCATAATACCTTATCTTTTTTTTTAGTCACATTTCTGAAAATTGAGTTTAAATTTAATGTGAGCTCATTTATTTGCAAAACCTGATACGAATAGGGCTGAGGGGGCCAGGGATTTAGCTCAGTGGCACTGCACCTGCCTTGCAAGCACAGGGTCCTGAGTTTGATCCCTGGTACTTCAGAAAAAAAGAATAGGGCTGGGGTTGTAGCTCAGTGGTGTGCCCACCTCAAAAGTGCAAGGTCCTAAGTTTGATCCCCGGTACTGCAAAAAACAAACAAAAAAACACCTGATAAGAATATATTGTGGTTATTTAGAATATTTATCTACTTAGTATTATCATTTGCATTTTTCTTTGCTGAAGAGTATTAGATTAGGGGTTCTGCCTCTGGGCATCATGAGGTTGTTTTATAATATATATACTGCAGAACCTTTCTCATATCTGAGAAATTCTTTATTGGAACACGTCTGGCCCAAAGAATTTAGGTTAGGGACTGTGTACCTATACTGGGTTTTGTTTGCTGATCAACGACTGTGTGTGTCAGTTTTTATTAATGATCTTTGAACTTTGTTTAGTGACATCTCTGGTACCCTGCATTCAGCAAAGATGTGGAACCCAGATGGGCTAACACAGCCTCCTTCCTCCCATAGCTGTAGGGTACAGCTTAGGGAAAAGGAAATGAACAGAAGCCTGAACTCAATCATAGGCTCATCTGTTACAGGTGCCTAACAGCTTTAGGCCTAGGAGAGCAGTAGCACAAGGTCGGAAAGTGATGTCTACCATTAGATGATGTCTTAGCATTTCTAAGTTGCTGGTTTGAACCTAAGTTCTTTCGATTCTGAGTAGCAGGATCTGAATGGCCATTATAATTCTGTTCACAGCTCCAGTATCACCTTAAACTGCTAATAACTACCTAATGAAAGACAGTGCTCATGTTCCTCCATTTTTTTATATTAATGATGGTATCTCTGTGCCATTGTTACCATAAAAACATAAAGGGGAACTCACACTTTGTAGGGCTGAGAAAGTGATATCCTTAAGTTTTCTTAAAGTGTGGCAGCCACTTTTCTGTTTCATAATGGGAATAAAAGAGAAAGATATTCCTGCAGGAAAATACTCTAATTTACAATGCAGGTGGGCATATTGGTGGAAAAATGCATAAGGGAACATATTACATGTATAGAAAGGTTTTAGTTATTTTGCTTTGGAAATTTTTTTAGTAGATTTATAATCTTCTGAGGAACAACTTTATATAGTTCCACCTTGAGTGCTTTACCTTAAAGAAAAGCTTATATATATGTGGTTTATACTTGTACTTCCCTGAGAAAAAGGTTAGCCTCTGTGGATGTATAAACTCTTGATGTGTTTTCAGAGCACTCAGTGTGTTTGTTTGGAATTGTACATTTGAATTTATTATATACAGTTTACATTCTGATCAGGTCTGTGAGTGCAGTATACATATATATTTGTATTTAGATGATTCTTAGGTTTATAGATTATTTGCAAAACTTGAACTACTCTATAAGTTTCTATGGTTTGCTTTTGATGTATTTAAAAAAAATTTTTCCCTTTTTATGTTGCCAGTGTCTTGTTCATGTCAGTGTCTGTAAAGTGCCCTTTTTACTTTTGTTAGTACAGTACATATTTGCAGTACATAATGATTACATTCATTGTAGGGAATTGGTACATGTACATAAACATTTCAACTCCCCTCTTCCTCTCCCCTCCCCTTTTATTTCTCCAGCATCAGATTCATTTATTTATCTTATAAGACCTTATAAAATTAAAAAATAATTGTTTGGAGACAGAGTCTCACTATGTAGTTCAGGCTGCCCTTGAACCCACTATGTAGCCCAAGCTGACCCTGAACTTGGTGGTGCTTGCTACTCCTGCCTTGGCCTCCGAGTGCTAGGATTACAGGCATGTGGCATTTCTGGTAATTAACTTTAAAGTTAATTATCATATATACAGATTGAAAACCAGACTAGTGGGCCAAAGAACATATTAAAACATGTAAGACAGTTGTACTGAGTCAAGGTACACATTTAGATACATTGTGCTGGATTATACTTTTTTTCCTTTCTCTTTTTTCTTATTATTTATTTTGAGATATATATATGTATGTATGTATAGTTTTTCCTCTTAAGGGAAATTATGCATAAGCAAAATTATGCATAAGTGAAAAGCCTAAAATATTTAGGCTTGTGTGTATGAGTTCTTCACTTAATATTATGGTCTCAAGGTGCATCCATTTTCCTACAAATGACTCAAGTTCATCCTTCTTTATGGCAGAGTGGTACTCAGTTTCTTTATTGATTCATCTGTTGATGGACATATAAGCTGCTTCCAATATTTAGCTATTATGAATTATGCTGCTATAAACATAGATATGCATGTATCACTGGGGCAAGAGGTCTTTAACTTTTTGGGGAAGATACCTATAAGGGAAATTGCTGGGTCAAATGGAATTTCTACTTTTAGTTTTTTGAAGAATCTCCATACTGATTTCCACAGTGGTATATCAGTTTACAATCCCACCAACAATGGAGAAGGGTTCCTTTCTCCCTGCAGCCTTGCCAGCATTTGTTATTAGTTGATTTCTTGATGGTAGCCATTTTTTCTGAGGTGAGATGGAATCTCGGTCGGGGTACATGCCTATGGTCCCAGCTCTTGGGAGACTGAGGCAGAAAGATCACAAATTTGAGCGTAGCCTGAGTAACTTAGTGACTATCTCAAAATAAAAAATAAGGAGCCGGGGATTTAGCTCAGTGGTACCGCTGCCTGCCTTGAAAGTGCAAGGTCCCAAGTTCAATCCCCGGTACCAAAAAATAAATAAACAAACAAACAAATAAATAAATAATAAAAGGGCTGAGGATGTAGCTTATTGAGAAGGCCATGGGTTTAATCTCTAATACCAAAAAGGGATTACTATCTGAATCATTTTCAGGAGATTTAAAAATATATTTTTATTACCTAAAACTTATCACAGGAAAGTAAATAGAAGTGAAGAGACCTTACTAATAGTAATTATATTAACATCTAATTATATAATGAACTCAACCCCAGAACTAAGGGTTGAGTTTGTATCTCCTTATTTCCCTGACTGGTGGTCTTTCTTCACATTAAGGGACTTTGTAGGACTTAAACTAAAAACCTACTCTGAGGTGTAAAGTGTTATTATTGCAAAGGAGACTACTGTAGCGTACTGGAATGCTCTTTGTTCGTAATAGTTCTATTCTTTAACCAGTTTTGTCCTTTAATCTAAGAGCAACAACTCGGTGTGGCTGTCTGTGAGGTCTAACTCTTTTGCATATTGTGTCTTCTAGTTTGTACCTGTTCAAACTGGGTCTGGCTCCTCAGATCCAAGACCTGTATGGAAAGGTTGACTTCACAGGTAAGGAGTTACAGACTTAGCAGGAATGTTTGATTTATGTGGAGATAGCCTGGAAAGTCAGCAGTAGCAGTTTTAAAGAACTAGGGCTTTAGACATACTCTGGCAAGAAAAATGAAGGAAATATAAATAACTTGCTTCTCTTAATATGATGTAAAGCATAGTAAAATTGGAATTCAGGCTCTGGTCTCTTATTTATGACATGGGTGTAATTGCTGAAACTTAGTTTTCATAAATGTAATTTGAGAATAATATTAGCATATAACATAAAACAGTATTAGCATGAAACATTAAATGTTCATGTGTGATGAAAAAACAATTATTAGTCTTTCCCTTTCCCTGCTAGCTAGTACCTGTTGTGGGCAAATCAAAGGCAAGAGTGGGAAGTGAGGTAATGGAAAGAGGAGAATTTAGTAAATTTTTTTTTTTTTTTTTTTTTGGCACCAGGGATCAAACTTGGGACCGTGTGCTTGTGAGGCAAGCGGCGGCACCACTGAGCTACATCCTGGGCTGAGAATTTAGTAATTTTAAGCTGAGTGTGGTGGCACACACCTGTAATCCCAGCACTCAGGAAGCTGAGGCAGGAGGATCAGCATGAGTTCGAGGCTAGCTTGGGGTACATAGTGAGATCAAGGCCAGCATGAACTACACAGTGAGACCCTGGCTTTAAAAAAGTTAGTAATGTTAACATTTAAGCTTTTTTGGGTGTATCTGTATGTTCAAGTCTGGTGTTTTGTTACTGTGACGGCATAGCTGGTGCTGTGAAACCTGATAAGGAAAAGAGGTTTATTTAGCTCATAGTTTTGGAGGCTGAGTGTCTAAGATCAGTTGACCCCATTGGTTTGACCTCTAGAGAGAGACTGTCAAGTGGCATCCTGGTGGGAGCACATCTGCAAGTGAGAGATCACGTTGTAGGACAGGAGCCAGAGCTGGATGGGACCAGGCTTGCTTTTCTTTTCTTTTTTGGGGGGGCAGGATTGAGGCAGGGTCCCACTATGTAGTTCAAGCTGGCCTTGAACTCACCAATCCTTCTGCCTCAGCCTCCTGTGTGCTGGGATTATAGGTATGCACTACCACGCCTGGCTAGGCTTGCTTTTCTTACAATTCTGTCTGAGAAGTAGCATAAGTCCTGCAGAACTACCTTAATTTTGTCTGCCAGCAGTGTCTCCAGGAACCTGAGGATTTCCCAGCAGGTTCTGCCTCTTACGGGTCCTAGGACCTCTCATGTCCCACTGATTCCCAGGCCTCTAACATGAATCCATGGGACAGACCACATCTGCCCCAATGTGATGTCATCAGGTGCCTGGAGAGGCTTGGGGAGAAAAGGGCAACATCCCTAATACGGGCTAGGGATAAGGTAGATTCAGGTCTTTCCACTGGTGATTATTTTGTTTTAATTTTTTTTTTTTTGGTACCGGGGATTGAACTGGGGTCCTTGAGCTTGCAAGGCAGGCAGCAAAACCATTGAGCTAAATCCCTGGCCCAACTGGTGATTATTTTGTAGGCCTAGGAGTTTAAAAAAATTAGTAATAAACTTTACCTGTGACATTTTTCCTTCCAGTCTTGGAGCAAGAGCCAAACCTGACATGTTATTTTCTTTATTGTTTGGCTTTCTGCCTTAGAAACAAGATTGCTGAATAGTAGCTAGTGATTTGCATGGTAAAGACTGACATAACTGATTTACTTGTTGGGTTGCTTTTAAAGCTTCCATTTGTAAGTTTATTGTAGGAAATGCCATAGCAACAGTTTTGAAAAACTTCCCCATAGCACCTTGTCCCTTTGTGGCTATGTTTGAGGCCCTGTGGATAGTAGTGGTGGTGAGTGCATTTGGTGGGTATTGTGCTGCGTGCCTTCCCATGTGATTTATTCAACTCTTACAACCACTCTTAAGAGGTTGGATACTAATTTAAAGTTCAAGAATTTGTTTTTTTCTCTGAGCTATGGAAAAGTGCTTAACTTGCTCTACTGGGTCTTCATTCTTTTCCTGTAGAAGAAGAAATCAACAACATGAAAATTGAGCTGGAGAAGTATGGGATCCAGATGCCCGCCTTCAGCAAGATCGGGGGCATCCTGGCCAATGAGCTCTCCGTGGATGAAGCTGCATGTAAGGAGAGAGAGATTTTTGGGGTTCAAATGGGATTGTTGGTACCATTTGCAGTCACTAAGTCACTATGGCGGTGATCTTGAACGTTGGGAATTTTCCTAGAGAGTTTAAATCTATAATTGTAATTTTAAATACTGTTACAGTCACCTCTACTGTTATCTGGAAATGAATTACTGATTTTGGTTAATAGGAAAGCATTTAGAAAGTGGGCTCTACACTTCACTGCCTGTTGTTTTTTTTCTGTATGGTATTTAGTAGGCAATTAAAGGTGAACATTTTCATAGCAAATGTTTCTTGCAAAATTCCTTATGACTGTTTCTCTGTGCAACTGCAAATTCAGCATGGGTCACAAGCAGACCTGTGGCTTTGTGTATCATAAGGATGAGAACAGGTTTGAGGACCCATGGCACCGTTCCTGTAACCCCAGTTGCTATTTCTCTTTCTCTAAAAAGGAGCCTTCCTCTGTACTAGAAGGTTCCAATATTTTTCTGTATATGTCATATGCATTGTTTAGTAATCTCAGTGTTCTGTGCTTTGGATTTTTTTTTAGTACATGCTGCTGTTATTGCTATTAATGAAGCTATTGACCATAGAATTCCAGCCGACACATTTACAGCTTTGAAAAACCCCAACGCCATGCTCGTAAATCTTGAAGAACCCCTGGCTTCCACTTACCAAGATATACTTTACCAGGCCAAACAGGACAAAATGACAAATGCTAAAAACAGGGTAAAAATGGAACATCTCTTCTTCCTATTTAAAGTATATATTTTTATCATTTGATGATACTACTTTAAAAATCAGTTTTATTGAAGTACTGTTTACATACAATAAAATTCATCTACTTCAAGTGTACAGTTTGAGTTTTGCTGAATGAAACATCATCCCAAAGAGTTTCCTGGCAACTTCTGCCTCCCCTGCTCGCACCTCAACTCCAGGCAACTACCAGTCTGTTTTCTATTGCTACACTTTACCTTCCCTGATCTCATACAAATGGAATTACACAGTCTTTTGGTATTAGACTCTAGTTTGACCTATATTTTCTTCTTGAATTTTGTGTAATGAAGTTTTTGGAGTGTGGCCATTAAAAACTGATAGTGTCCTTTTGAAAGAGGGTTTCCAAATATTTGCATGGCCCTTCTTTCCCAGCTTCTCTAGGATAAAGTGTTTGTTTACCATTGTTTAAGGTATGTGGAAGTTGGTTGAATGAGTCTAACTTGAAAAAGCTGAAGCTAAGAATCTCATTTCAGACTCCATACAAACATACTCATCCCTTGAATTAGTGACTGCAATGTCTCAATTCTTTGGAACTTGTCCAGATGACAAGGTGAAGGGAACTCTGTTCTCAGAATATTCTTTTTCCTCTCTTGTAGAGCAGGGACTTCACACCCCAGGATAGGTGCCAGATTGGCTGCAGGCAAGTTGCTGCAGCCAGGCCTCTGCCTACATCACCAGTGAGAGGCTGCAAATGGCCCTTGTGTGCCCACTCTGTCCAGCTCTGAGCCCACCACCCAAGAGTGAGGAAGGCGGGTCATGAAGCGCTGCCCTCCTGACCCAGCTCCGCTTCTCACATGTTTAGTGAGAGTCACATAGTGTTCTCCTTGGTCTTTACAAGGATTCTAAGCTGTAGTCACATGCCTTTGGTGTTGTTAGGGTGGGGGAGAAGTGCAGATGTATTTCTGTGTCTTCCTAGAGAACTGAGCTGCTAATTTACCCTTTTTATTCCTCCTCAGACAGAAAACTCTGAGAGAGAAAGGGACGTGTATGAGGAGCTGCTCACACAAGCTGAAATTCAAGGCAATGTAAACAAAGTGAACAGTAAGTATGGCCCTGAGTTAGGCACTCAGAGGACATTACAGAATAATGTCAGGGGTGAGCTACTCTTGGATTAAGAGCATGGCTTAATGTAGTGATTTTAGATGCTACTGAATTTGTTTAGAACCTCTGAGGTTTATAGTCTCTGGTGTTCCTTTGCCCTGTCTCCACTCTCCTTGTCCTTAGGCAGGCCCTGTCTCCTGCATCTGCAGCAGCAGCTTCTTAACTGTTCTTTTTTGGCCATAGATTCACTCCTTCACCATGTTATAAACTTTAAAAAAATGTATTTTCCATGTTATTTAATGATACTGGGGACTGAACATAGGCATGCTCCACTACTGAGCTATATCACCAGCCTTTTTAATTTTAATTTTTCAACAGAGTCTCACTAAGTTGCTCATGGGTGGCCTGTAGAGCTTGAGATCCTCTTGCCCCCCAGCCAGCTGGGATTACAGCCCTGTGCTACCATGCCCAGCACATTTTCCAGTTTTTAAAGTAGTACATTAAAGCTGTCTAGAATATATATAAACAATAAAAAATTAGACCCCATCATTTAAAAATAACATTTACTGACATTTTTATGCTTGCTCTTCAAAGTATTTAAACAAAAATGAGATTATAGTTTCTGTATTAATTTTGTGAAAATATGTTACACACTTGAAAAATTACTTCTTAGCTAAGAAGTGTCTTTTTCATTTTGTCATACCTCTGCTAAAGAACCTGCATTAGCTCCCTCCCTGTCAGATTGAACCCAGGGCCTTGCACATACTTGGCCAGTGTTCTACTACTGAGCTGTATCCCCAGTCTTTGCATTTTGAGGAAGAGTCTTGCTGAGTTGCCCATGCTGCCCTTGAACTTGAGATCCTCTTGCTTTAGCCTCCTGAGTAGCTAGAATTACATGTACCACCTCTCCTACCCACACAATGCTTCATGCTTGTATCTTTTTAAATTTTTTTGGTACCAAGGATTCAACTTGAGTCCTTGCACTTGCACAGCAAGTGGCAAAACCACTGAGCTAAATCCCCAGCCCACTCATGCTTGCATCTTTTTGGGACCTAATTTATCTAATTTTGCTCATATTCATTTGCTTTATTTCATGACTCATGAAGAGTGCCTGTGAAGTGGTACCGACCTGGAATTTGATCTCGTCTTCTTTTGGTGCGGGGATTGATCCCAGGACCTTCATGTTCTATGCTAAGCACAGGCTGTATCACTGAGCTACTGTCCCAGGCCTTGTTCTCATGTTAATAGCAGTGTGACATTGGGTACCTGCGACAAAGCTGTTATACAAATAATGTATATTAATTGCTTGGTATTTAGTAAGTTCTCAGTAAACCGTAGTATTATCACTTTGTTAATCATGTAATTTCTCTACCATAGTCCCTTCATGGCTCATCTCTTACCTAATCCAAACCATACCCATCATTCAAGATCCAGTTCAGTTCTCTCTTCAGTGCCTGTCCCAGTTCACAGTACTATATGTGTCTTTCAGATCTCCTACAGCATTTACAATCTGAGCCACACAACTTTGCACTTACTCATGTATTGCCTTGTATCACTTGCTCTTTGTTTCTCAGCTTTGTACTCCTTACATTAGAGAGCATTCTGCTTCTTTTGAAATCCTTGTAATATCTAGCATAGGATTAGGTTTATCAAAAGAACTAAAACATTTGATTTCAGCAAATTAGGCCAGGCTTGATCTTGTCTTGCTCAAGATAATAAAAATGTAGTAATAATTCATTGTTTGTTTGAAGGTCCTAATATCTCATATGAACTAATAATATTCATTTTTTTGGTACCGGGGATCAAACTTGGGACCTTGCGCTTGCAAGGCAGGTAGCAGCACCACTGAGCTAAATCCTGGCCCCTAGTAACATTCTTGTTTCTTTTTCTTTTCCTTTTCTTTTTTCTTTTTCTTTTTGGTACCAGGGATCGAACTCGGGACTTTGCACTTACAAGGCAGGTGGCAGATCCCTGGCCCCCCTATAATATTCTTAATAACTAGACAGCATTTACAAAGATTTTATCAACTCTGTCAGAATATGATAATAAAGATACCTTCCTAATAGGTTGAATTTTTTTTTTGGTACCGGGGATCTACCTGGGGACCTTGTGCTTGTGAGCCAGGCAGCGGCACCACTGAGCTAAATCCCCGGCCCGACGTTTTGTTTTTTTAAAGACAGAGTCTCACTGTGGAGAGTCCCACTGCCACATAATATTATATTACAGAATTTGTGTGAACTCTGGTTCTATGGCTAGAAATAGAGATTATTAAGGAAGATCCCTTCTTCCACTCTGCACAGGGTGAACCACCCGTGACATCTGAGAGTGTGTTCAAAAGATATCAGTGTAACAAATGGGTTTTAAATGATGGTATATAGGAAATGATTGAAGGAGCTCAAGCTGTGTGTGAGGAGAACATTGCCACAGGAAGATAGAATTGGATGTATTCAGTGTGAACTCCCAGATGGGAGCTTTGGGAAGTCTTTGAGCCAGGCATAGTGGTGTATACTTGTGATTCCAACTACTTAGGAAGCTGCAGCAGGAGGTTCACAAGTTCCAAGATCAGCCTAGGCAACTTAGCCAGACCCTGACTCAGAAATAAAAAGGGGTGAGGATGTAGGTCAGTGATAGAGTGCTTGACTGTTGTGGGAGGTGGGGAGAGGGGTGGGTTCTATCCCCAGCATTGCAAAAAAAAAAAAAAAACCCCAAAAAAGTCTTTTTGAAACATACCGTCCAAAGATGTAGTAAATTATCATGGAAGATACTTTATTCTGTCTAGGAGTCTATAAGCTTAATCTGGACTACTAATTGGGACTTTAGAGGGAATTTAGGCATGGTATTGGTCTGGATTGGTGACTCTTGTAGTTGTCCTCTTGTTGGTGCTCAGCTGTCTACATCTGGAAACTTTTAGGTAGACCTAGAGTGTAACCTAGGAATGTGTGTGGAATCTGATGAGCAGCCTGGTTGGGAAACTTTGGACATGATGACTTTAAAGTTTTCTTCTAATCCTAAAATTTTATGCTTTTGATATACTATAGGATAAAGATTTTCCCAGTTAAGCCAAGTGTGGTGGCAGACACTTGTAATCTCAGCACTCAGGAAGCGGAGGCAGGAGGATCTCAAGTTCTAGGCCAGCCTGGGCTACATAGTGAGCTCTAGTCTATGAATTACACAGTGAGACCTTGTCTCAAAAAACCAAAAACAAACAAACAAAAAGTTATCTGAATTATATTTCCCTAATCTGGACCTGAGATTGCTTGCTTTGGGGATGGAAAGTGTTCTAGGCTATTATACTAAAGTCAGTTTTTTAAAGCTTTTGCTTTTTTCTTCTCAGCACTTTCTGCATTAGCAAATGTCGACCTGGCTTTAGATCAGGGATCCACTGTGGCCTTGTTGAAGGCACTGCAGTCCCCAGCCCTGGGTCTCCGAGGGCTGCAGCAACAGAATAGTGACTGGTACCTCAAGCAGCTCCTGAGCGACAAGCAGCAGAAGCAGCAGGTGACATTACGTGGGGTTGAACCTGCAAGTCTTTGTGTACATGCACTGGAGTCCCCTGTAATTTAAAGATTGAAGTGCCCTTTCTTACTCCTCATATAACCTTCTTCTGTCCTCTTTATTAGTTTTCAAAAAAATCCTCAGGTAAAGAACATATTATCTTTAGCCTTCCTTGCTTTTAGAGCTGTGAATCCTTTTTAAAATAAATAATACAGTGCACGCACACACACACACCCATCTAACCACCTTTCATTTCAGCTACTTCCTGAGAAAAAGCCTTTAGGAAGAATTACATTTTTACTTTAAGAATTTCCACTATAAAACATACTTCAGTGATTTCCTCTAGTCACACTGGGAAAGAACTTACTGGCAGCAGGGGTAGATTGTGTGGGATTGTACTTGATGGGAGTTTCTTTTAAGCACATTTGTCTAAATAAGGGCAAGTGGGGCCAGGGATTTAGCTCAGTGGTTCCGGGCTGCCTCGAAAGCGCAAGGTCCTGAGTTCAATCCCTGGTACCAAAAATAAATTAATTAATAAATAAATAAGGGCAAGTATACGTTTACAGATTTCCAACATATGTTGGTCAGAGCAAGCAGCATCAATGTGCTAGTGATTCTCTATTTTCAGAACATTATGTTGCTTTCTTTGCACATAATATTTTATAAATAAATGTACATATAATAAATGTACGGATGTCTGGAAAGTCACTCTTCTGCCCCCAATTTGGCAAGGGCTTCTAGCCCTAGCTGGGCAACCGCCTTGGCTGTGCCTAGCTTAGAGCTCCATGTCCGCACTGTGCCTCTTGTGACTGCTATTAGGATGTGACAACTCCCAGCCCCCAGGCAGAGGCACAAGTCCTCTTTTTTTTAGTACTGGGGATCGAACTTGTGTACTTGTGCTTGCGCAGCAGGCAGCAAAACCACTGAGCTAAATCCCCAGCCCACAAGTCCTCTTTTCCTAAATAGCCTTTCCTTTTCTCAGAGTGGTCAGCTTGAACCCCTGCAGAAGGAGGAGCTGCAGGCCGGAGTGGATGCTGCCAACTGCGCTGCCCAGCAATATCAGAGAAGTAAGTCCTGTCTGTGCAGATACACAGGAGGGAGGAAAGCTGTGGCTTTGTGTCTTTGAAGGGCTGAGGTTAGCACTTGTTGCCCTTCACCCCCTATACCAGCCTGTAGTAGTTAAATTGTCAGGTAGCTTTGGTGACAGTAGAATTCTACTTTAGAAATAGGACTGGAGCCAGATGTGGTGGTGAATGCCTGTAATCTTAGCACTCAAGAGGCTGAGGCAAGAGGATTGCTATGAGTTTGAGGCCAGCCTGTGCTACATAGTGAATTGTTCAAGGCTAGCCTGAACTACAAAGCCACACCCTGTTTTAAAAAACCAAACAAAAAATGGGCTGGGGATTTAGCTCAGTGGTTCTGCCGCCTGCCTCGCAAGCACAAGGACCTGAGTTTGATCCCCAGTACCAAAAAAACCAGAAAAAAGTAGGACTGGAATTAGTGCCAGTTCCCTTTGGCTCATAAGCACTTCATGGTTGGTTAGGGAAGTATCTGGAGGAGGTGACACTTGAGATTGTTAAGATGTGCATTGTGAAAGAGGAGAAAGAAGAATGTTCCTAATGTGGGACATAGGGGGAAAAGGACATGGGAACTGGGTGCAGATGGTGAAAGATGCATTTAAGGAGCAGTGGTTAGAATAAAATTTTTTATGAGGCAACGAAAATCTTTATTACCTCAGAACAAGTACACTTACACCTCATCAACAGCTTTAAGAGTCACAGAAATGCGGGCTTCACACCATAAAGTATTACAGACTCTGAGGAGTGGTCCTTTAGACTATTTTGGCTGTAATACTGAGGTAACCAATTGACTTTGTTTAGTGAAAATACCTCTGACAACAATGGAAAACACCAACTAGTTATAACATCCAAGAAAAGTTTTTGGAGGTGTTTTGGGCTAAGCAGTGTGAAATGAGTGCCAGGAAGATTGTGAGAAGACTTGATGGCAGCTGAAGGACATGATCTTTTATTTGTTGGGCTCCAGGGCAAGTAGAGAGTAGTGGCAGCCTGTGGGAGGAAATGATTAGAAGGAAAATGTGGATTTGAAAAAAAGAAAAAATATGTGAGTAAGGAAAACAATTAGGAGGCTTAGTTATATATTTTTTGTAACAGCCAGGCATGGTGGCATACACCTGTGATCCCAGTACTCTGGGAGGCTGAGGCAGAAGGATCACAAGTTTGAGCCCAGCCTGGGCAACGCATTGAGTTAGTAAGGCCTTGTCTCACAAAGAGAAAAAAAAGGACTAGGGATGGAGCTCAGTGTGAAAATTTTATTTGAGATAAAGTTCTCATTAAATTGCCCAGGCTGCCCTCAAACTTGTGATCCTTCTGTCTCAGCTGCCCAAGTAGCTAGGATCACAGGCATGCATCACTGTGCAAAGGCAAAGCCAAGAGGCAGCTGTTTAGAGATGAAAGTTGTACCTCAGACTTCATGGCTGATTCTGCATTTCTGACCTGTTTCTGCACAGGGTTGGCAGCAGTGGCAGCAATTAATGCTGCAATCCAGAAGGGTGTTGCTGAGAAGACTGTTTTGGAGCTCATGAACCCTGAAGCCCAGCTGCCCCAGGTGTACCCATTTGCTGCTGATCTCTATCAGAAGGAGCTGGCTACCCTGCAACAGCAGAGTCCTGAAGTGAGTTAACTGAGCCTGCCCTGCCTATGAGTGAGCAAAGCGCAGTGGGAGGGAATTTAATAGACCTGTCTTAGTGTACTTAGTGGACTGTTTTCCAGAAGCATAGTGTTCATAAACATGTAAGTCCCTTGGCGAGGGAGAGACTCTGCTCACTGTTTTCCTCACCCATTCTGTACAGCATAGCCTCACCCATCCGGAGCTCTCTGTTGCTGTGGAGATGCTATCATCAGTGGCTCTCATCAACAGGGCACTTGAATCAGGGGACATGAATACAGTGTGGAAGCAACTGAGCAGCTCGGTCACAGGCCTGACCAACATCGAGGAGGAAAACTGTCAGAGGTGAGGCTCAGGATGAACACAAGTCCAAGCCATAGCTCTCAATGCCTGTTCTTGTGTGTTAGCACTCCTGTTTTCCTTGAAGCCATTACAGCGTTAGTGTAGTTAGCCTTTTGGTGTTCTGCTTTGATTCTTTTTTTTTTTTTTTTGGTACTGGGAATCAAACTTGGGTCCTTGCGCTTACGCAGCAGATGACGAAACCACTGAGCTAAATCCCCAGCCCTGCTTTAATTCATTTTATTTTTTGTTTATGAAGGATTTACAGTATGTTACAGACAACCATGACTTTCTGCTCCTAAATAAATATGCTTATCTAAAATTTGTCATGTAGCCAGAACAACACTACCTAATTTTTTTTTTTTTTTTTTTTTTTTGAGACAGGGTCTCACTATGCAGTAAAGTGTGGTCTTGAACTCACTATGTAGCCCAAGCTGGCCTCAAACTCACAGCAATCCTCCTGCCTTAGCCTCTCAAGTGCTGGGATTACAGACCTGTACCACCATGCTCAGCTAACATTACCTATTGTCTTGACAAAAATTTTTAGCATCCTCTAAACTGAGACTATTTTGAGTCTTCTTTAGTTATTCCAAAACTGTCCTTTATATGAAACAGGATCTGGTCCAGGACCATGTGATGCATCTGGCTTCTGTGTCCCTTAGGTTTCTTTTAATCTAGAAAGATCCTTTTCCTCATGACAGTGGCTTGTTAAAGATGGAGCCACTTGTCCTTTAAAATGTCCCATCTTATGGACAGTTCTAGGTGCCTTCTTTGGTTTATTATAAATTGGAAATTAAATCTAAAGGCTCATTATGGTTTACTTCACGGTTTTGGTTGACTTGTATTTCATATTGCCTCATATTAAAAGGCACATAAAACCTACTTTTCTTCCTACCATGAGGTATTCTAAGATTGATCCCTGGATTCAGGAGACAGCTTGTACCACCATTAGATACTTTATATTTTCCTTGTCACCAGAATGTCATTTCTTTCTTAACCTTTTGTACCATCAAAATGCCCTTTCCTCATTAACCATTCACCTCATATTTTGATCCCAATAGATAATTTTTGTTCAAACCTTCATAGTTGCTGGATAATAACTTGTTGGTCTGTCATTTTTTTTAGACTTACTAGCTTGTATTTGGGTTTGTTTTTTTTTTAAGTGGTTCTGGGCATAGGATCAGGGCCTCATGCATGCAAACCAAGTGCTCTACCCCTGAGCAACAACCCTAGCTCTGGCCTTTCTTCCCCCTTGTCTTTAGAATTATTTGACCTACTGCCCCTAATTCTAGAGCTGGTCTTAGCAGGAATTTAGAAAATATAACTAGCTATTGAGAATGAGTTATTTCCTTGCCTTTTCACAGTTCGTTTAAGGTAACTCCCTAGTCCCAGAATTTGCCTATAGCTTATTTCACACAGTTAGGGTATCCTAGTAGTTTTTGTTCTTTGAATACTTTGTTCCTTCATCTTCTCATTCCCGTTATCTGGAACAATCCTAATGTTTGTTTTGTCTGCTTTTGGTCGGGTCCTGGGGCAGGTATCTTGATGAGCTGATGAAGCTGAAAGCTCAGGCACATGGAGAGAATAATGAATTTATTACCTGGAATGACATCCAGGCTTGTGTGGACCAGGTGAACCTGGTGGTGCAAGAAGAACATGAGCGTGAGTAATCATCCTGTCGGTCAAATAATGTCACCATTGGGCCAGGGATTTAGCTCAGTGGTTCTGCCACCTGCCTCACAAGCGCAAGGTCCCGAGTTTGATCCCTGGTACCAAAAAAAAATTTTATCTTTGGCCTGGGGATTTAGCTCAGTGGTTCCACTGCCTCCCTCGAAAGCACAAGGACCCAAGTTCGATCCCCAGTACCAAAAAAAAAAGTATATAATGTCACCATGGAAGGTAGGGTGAGTCTATGAGCTGGGTCTAGATAACACTCCTGGAAGAGTTTTTGGGTGAAAAATTGAAAATACTTACACAACTCAAAAAGCTAAGGTTGGGTATTGTTTTCAAAATTCTAGTCAGTTGCTGTAGTTAGATAGGTACCCAGTAAGAGCTAAGTTTTTCTGGAGGTGAATTGAACATGATTTGTTATTGCTAAGTGCTGTTTTAACAAGTAATTCTGGCACCAAGGACCTGGTATTATGTCACCTTGCACAGGCTGGGAACACTGTAGGCACCAGACAGATGCAAGATCCAGGGTTCCTGGGCTGCTGCATTTCTGAACTACTGGCTACAAATTCAGGGGTTCCCTGTACCCTTTCAGGTCCAATAGTTTTCAGAACTGAGAAAAGTGCTAGACTTATCATCATAGTTTTAAGGATATAAATAAGGACCAGCTAAAAGAAAGACCCATAGGTCAAAGTCTGGGAGAATCCCAAATACAGAGTTTCTGTGCCCTTGGGGTGCATCACCTTCCTGACATTGATGGATGTCACCAACCAAAGCAGCTCATTCAAGCTTTTGGTAGTTTTCATTTGGGCTCATTATATACACATGGTTGACTGAATTATTGGCTATGTGAAGAAAGGCTTGCTAGTTTGTAATAGCCATCCTGCTGGGTTGTTTCGTATTTTTTGTTTGTTTGTTTGATTTTGAACTGTAGGTTGTTTTGTTTTTAAGACAGGGTCTCACTATTGTTGGTCAGCTGGTCTCAAACTGCTGGTTTCAAGAAGTTTCCCACTTTAGCCTCCCAAGAACCTGAGACCACAGGCATGCACTGCTGTGCTCAGTAAGAGTTGATTTGTTTATAAATTTCTTTTTTTTGGCACTGGGGATCGAACTCGAGTCCTTGAGCTTGCAAGGGCAGGTGGCGGCACCACTGAGTTAAATCCCCAGCCCTGTTTATAAATTTCTTAATTAAAAAATAATCTTACAGGGCTGGGGATTTAGCTCAGTGGTTTCGCCACCTGCTGAGCAAGCGCAAGGACCCGAGTTCGATCCCCAGTACCAAAAAAAATAATAATAATCTTAACACCTGCTGAGCAAGTGCAAGGTCCTGAGTTCAATCCCCGGTACAAAAAATAATAATAATAATCTTAGCTGGGCTTGATGAGGCTGTAATCTTAGCACTTGGGTGGGTGAGGCAGGAGGATCATAAGTTCAAGGTCAGCCTGAGATACATAGGGAGATCTTGTCTCAAGAAAACCAAAAAAATAAATAAATTTGAAAAATCTTTTTTCCATTATATACATAGGGATTTTGGCCATTGGTTTAATTAATGAAGCTCTGGATGAAGGTGATGCCCAGAAGACCCTGCAGGCCCTGCAGATTCCTGCAGCCAAGCTTGAGGGTGTCCTTGCAGAGGTGGCCCAGCATTACCAGGATATGCTGATCAGAGCCAAGAGAGAGAAGGCCCAGGTGAGTGACATCTGACCTGGAACCACTCTCCCCAGAGCCTTCCTCCCTCCTGGAATAGATTGACTCGTCGAGTTCATCCTAGGTGTCTGTATGTTGGGAGCCCTGAAGACACAAAGTTATGAGAAACAGACACCCCCTTCCAGGAGCTCGTGTTTTTGTTCTTTGTTGTTAGTTGTGGTCATGTTTCATGTCTCTTTAGGTAAATTGTTTATTGAAATTGAAGATCCAGAGATATGCACGAATTTTATAAGTATGCAGTTAAGTTTTCAAAAGTATACCTGCAAATTGGTATTCAGGATATACCAAGTATTACCAGTACCCCAAAACCCCACCCAGTGTCCCGTTCTGTCCTTACTCACCGTCCCCCATTAGAACCACTATTCTAGTATCTAACACCGAAGTTCATTTTTGCCTTCTTTTTTTTTTCTTTTTCTTTTTGTTTTTTTGAGGCAAGTGTCTCTATGTAGTTCAGGCTGGCCTTGAACTCACTATGTAGCTGAGGCTGGGCTCAAATTTTTAGCAGTCCTCCTGCTTCAACCTCCCATGTACTGGGATTATAGGCATACACTACCATGCCCAGCTATTTTTGCCCATTTTTCAGCTGTATTTAAGTGGAACCATACATTATGTGCTCTTTCAAGTCAAATTTCTTTTGCCCAACGAGTTGTGATGTTCATCTATGTAGTTGTAGCAAGTTTGTTTATTCTCATTCTCATATACTATTCCATTGTATAGTGTTTCCTACTTCTTGGCTACTGTAAATACTGCTCTTGTGAATATTCTAGTACATGTTTTTTGGTTAAATAAATCTATATAAATACATATATATGCATTTCAGTTGGGTATACATGGGCAATGAGTATAGCTTGGTGGTGGAGCACTTGCTTAGCATGCTCAAGCCCTATGTTCAGTCCCCAGCACTACCACCACCAAAAAAAAAAAAAGATACATATTTAGGAGTAATGGTAGTGGGCCAGGGAATACATACATATGTTAAACTTCAGTAGATAATGCCATACAGTTTTTTTTTTGGTATATCCTTTTATTGGTAGTAATGCCATACAGTTTTTGATATTCACATGCCATGTAATTCAGTTTTAAAGTGTATTATTTGGTGATTTTCAGTATATTCCTAGAATTGTGTCACTATAATCCAATTTTGGAACATTTTCATTATCCCAAAAAGGAACTCTTCACCCATTATTGTCAGTCCTCATTTTCCCTCAGTCTCCCCTCAGCCCTAGGCAACCACCAGCCCACTATCTATGGATTTGTCTGTTCTGAACATTTCACATAGATGGAATTATGCAGTTTTCTAGTCGCTTGTGACTTGCTTCTTTCATTTACCTTGGTTCATCCACTTTATAGCTATTAGGAGCAATGCTGTGCTAAAAGTTTTTCAGAGTAATTGTAACATAAACACATCTTTCTAAGTTTGTCTTGCTTCCTAGCTAGTTAGTTGGAGAAACCAAAAAGAATGTAGACTTCTATTTATGCTAATGCTGTGTAGGAGGTTGCTCTGTATTTAGTAGGCCCTCATGTATCCCATGAGTAAACCATAATTCTATCTACTTTCCTAATTGTGATTGATCTCCTTTAAGTTCTTCCTAAGTTGTAACTACTAGATAGGGAGAGCCATTGTTTCCTTTTCTGACTTAGAAAATTCCTAAAGTGAGGTTCTTGCAGGGATTAGAAATGCTAAAAGGAAACTTTAAGGGACTAGAGTTTTTGTTTTGTTTTGTTTTTTCCCTATGTGGTATTTGGGATTGAACCCAGGGCCTTCACACTAAGCTACATTCCCAGCCCTCTTTTATTTTTTATTTTGAGACAGGGTCTCACTAAGTCACTATGTTGCCCAGGCTGGACTCGAATTTGCAGTCCTCCTGCCTCAGCTTCTCAGAGTGCTGGGATTATAAACATTTTCCACCATGCTCAGTTTAAGGATCAAATTCTTTCTGGGAAGCCAAGGATAGAAAAAGACCAAAGCTTTTGTGTATTGGAGTTTTTTGTACACTGACATCTATGCAGGCTCTATGAGTTTTGTTTAGGGGTGCATTGTGGGTGATACTATAATATTGTCAGATCTCCTTTGACCCCATTGCCATGAGAGTAATTGACATTCCCTTGTCCTAATCATATAAGTATAGTGTTTGATTGTACCAAGTTTTATGGACTGTCCCTTGATCCTGTTCAGATGGCTGACCAAAGAAACAAAGGGATCAATGGATTTCACTCACTTGAGTAGGAAGGTGTTGGCTTCAGGGAAATAAAAAGAGGCCCCAGCTTTTGCTTTATTTATTGGATTATTATTGGGTGAGAACTTCCCAAATTTGATCATCAAAGTACTTTAAAAGTCATTTTATAAATACAGATCCCTAAGTTTTAATGCTACTAGTGTGGGATCTGGCTACAGTGATTTCTGTGTTGGCTATAGAGTTTGTTTTTGCAACCAGGAAAATCCAAAAAACCTTACATCTCAGTGTCGGAGGAGTGAGGTTTGGGAGGATAAGCTGGGGTGGGTGCCATGTCCAAACGGAAAGTAGATTGGGTATATGACATATAACTCTCACTTGTATTCTCAGGCTATCTGCTCCTTTGTTTGGGTAATGAAAGTTAAATTTTAGAGGATGTGAGTAGAGTTCGAAGCATTTCCTTTTGTGGTGAAATAACTTTTCAAACCTCATCAAAAGTGCAAGAAAGGGAGAATTAAAGGAAAATTTGGTCAGCATTGCCAAGCCAACCCCAGTGAACTATACTTTAGGCAGAATGTCTTTTTTTGGGCATCAATTTTGTCTCCAAGTTCCTATGAGCCATCTTAGGAATGATTTTAAAAATAATTATTACTGAGTTCCAAATTTAGTAAGCAAAAAAGGTCTTAACTTAAACTTAGTCTGTAGTTTTCTTGTATCTCTGTAGCCAGTGTTGGTATTAGGGTCATCCCAGCCTTATAGAATGAGGTGAAAGTGTTCCTTCTGTATGTTAGAAGAGTTTGTAAAGCAGTGATTAATTATTCTTTAAATATTTGGTAGAATTCATCAATGAAGCCATATGGCTCTGGGTTTTGTTTTTGTTTTTATACGTGTTATTTTTCTACTCAGATTGTTTTCAGGTATTCTTTCCGCTCTCCTCTCCTTTCCTTCAGGGAATCTAATGGTGCACACATTAGCAGAATCAATGGTATCCACAGATCTCAGGCTTTGTCCATTTTTCCATTTTTTTATTCTTGCTGACTCAGAATAGATAATCTCAATTGACCTATTTTCTTTTTTCTTCTTCTTTTTTTTTTTTTTTTTTTTTTGTGGTATGGGGGATTGAACTCAGGACCTTGTTGCCTGCAAGGCAACTGAGCTAAATCCCCAACCCTCAGTTGACCTATTTTCGAGTTTGCAGATTCTTTTGGTTGCTGAAATATGTTACTGAGTCCCTCTAGTAAATTTTTCATTTCAGTTATTTTACTTTTCAGCTCTTTTTGGTATTTTTTTTTTTGGTATAATTTTAAAAAAATATTTTGTCTCTTGATATTCTCTCTCATGAGACATGGCTCTCATATTTTAATTCTCTAGTAATGATTTTTTTCAGTTCTTTGAATGTATTTAAAATAGTAGTCTGTAAATCAAATCTTGAGATTCCTTGAGGATGATTTCTATTGTCTGCTTTTTTGGGAAACATACCTGCTTTCTTGTTTCTGGTTTTCAAAACTCTACTGGATATCTTGTTCTCCAGCTTTTCCTTCTAAGTCTTTGGTTAGCCTGACCAGTGTGATTGCCCAATCTGCTGTCTGTTGCCCTAGGTATCTATGATATTAAACAGTTGTATCTTACTGTGTTTGCAAATGCCCTTAGGAAAAAAAGGCTCTTTGCACTGGGTGAGCTCTTGGTTGTGTAAACCGTGCCATATAATAAAAGGAGAGACTTTATTTTTAAAAAATAAATTTTATTTTATCTGATTCCCCCAAAGGAGAGACTTTAAAGGAAGTTTTAAGGGGTAAGAATTACCCTGGAGTAGGGGACGATGTGCTTTCCGTATACACATGTACATATATACATGCCCATTTTTCAACTGGGCACTGTGGCCACACCTGCCTTGGCATCTTGGGAGCCTGAGACAGGAGGATCACAATTTCATGCCTGGGCAACTTAGCAAGACTGTCTCAAAATTTAAAAGGCTGAGGATGTAGCTCAGTGCACGACCCCTGGGTTCAATCCGTAGTATCAAAAGGCCATTTTTATACTCCTTCTCTATTTCTTTATTGTGTTTTGGGTCTCCCTCAACTCTTTACCCCAATCATTGCCCATTCTTTTTAATAATTATTTCTGATCTTTACCTCTTCTGAAATGCAATCACTGTGTTTCTAAGTGTCAGCATTGATAGGTGGTTATGCTTTAATGAGCTTACACATTTTTTTTTTTTTTGAAGCAGGGTCTTGCTAAGTTGTCCAGGCTGGCCTTGAACTTTCAGTTGTCCTGCCTAAGCCTCCAGAGTACTTGGGATTATAGGCACGTGCCACTGCATCTGCCATTAATATATTTTATGTACAGCCAGGGATTTAGCTCAGTAGTTCTGCCATCTTCCCTGAAAGCACAAGGACCCGAGTTTGATCCCCAGTACCAAAAAAAACCCCCACAAATATATTTTATGTAGCATTTTCACATTAAATCTGTTTTTTTCTCAGTATTGTATTCAATGTATCATCCAGCATTATTAACTGATTTGAGTTAATCTTGGAGAATCTCTTTAGTACAAACTTTACTAGGGAGATACTGAGTTTTGGCACCTTCTTTGCTCCATTTGGAACAGTCAGAACCTGTTTCCTTACACTGGGATGAGGTAGTGTATGCTGTCTTTTACCTTCTTGAGGCTAGTGAGAGATATTTCTATATTGTATTTCCCTGACACACCAGGGACGCTATTCTCCTTTTCTTGCTTTTTATACTACAGCTTTGTTGCTTGTTTTTAGAGTAGTATATATGAAGGGTTTGCTTTAGTCCTTGTAGTCTGCGTGGAACAGGGAAGCCAGAATTCTGAGTGGCCAGAGTTGTTCAGAACCTCTGTCTCTCTCACTGCAAGGTAGGTTGTGCTAAGCTGCCTAGCTTTGCTCACACCAGATTTTTAAGGACAGTTGATAATGGGATCAGCCTAAAAGTGAACCCAAAATGACTTGATTTTTATGGAAATGCTTTTGTTTTTATCATGCTGGAATTTTTTAGAGTGCTTCTCTTGGAGACTGGACCTTTGGCCCTCTTGCTTATGACTTCCCGATTTACATTGTCACAGGCCTGTAGCTGACTCCTTGTAGTTTCAGCATTGGAAACCACTGCAATAGTTTCGTATTTCCAGTACTTATTTTTAGCACTTCAGGGAATTTGTGTGTGGTCATTTTCTATTTTCAGTAATAGAAAGTGGCTGGTTCTAGGTTCTATAGCTGTTGCTTCTTTTTCCTTTACTAAGACTGAACTTCTTAAAGTTGAGACAGGGCAGCAGCTACCATGATTTGGTTAAATGATCTATCTAAAATTCCACATTCAAGAATAATCACTGCTCTCCATTTTCTTTTTTCCTTTCATTCTGTATGACACTCTATAAACTGCAGGGATCGTGGCTGCTTTGCTCTGCCAAGTGAAATGTTATGTCATTCTCTCCAGTAAGCCAAGAGAAAAGCCAAGCCTCCCCTAAGGTTTTGTGGCTTCCGCCATTGGACATTAAAACTTTGCACTTTACTCCAAAACCTAGACACTGCCTCATCTGGCCACACGATCATGGTTATTGACCAGATTCTTTATTCTGCCTCATTGTTGTCTTTGCAAATTATATTCCTGTCAAGCAATCTAAATGGCCTTGTGAGCTACTGTTTGGCTCGGTTGGTGGAGCTCATGTCTCAGGAGCTTAATTGTGTTAGGTCTGCCAAGATCACCATAAGTATGACTCTCTACAACCTGACCACTTTAATACCCAAGGTGCTTGTCTTTTCCTGGAGAAGGCTACCACATTAGTCTGCTGGGTTGCTGCTTCTATAAAGATTCAGAGGCATTGTAGCAAAGAAAGGACCCTCATTTACTCTTGGGGACAGTTGGTTTACATAACCTCAGCTTGACCACTGAAATCTTAGTGGGTATCTGAGAGTGAGTTCCCATTCCGACTCCCACACCGAGAGTAGTTAACGGGTAGTACCCATTGCACTGACCACCTGTAATAGTGATGACTCCCTGAGGCTAATCATTAAGCTACTTTTCTGGATCAGAGGACCATAGCCAGATTCTTGAAAGTTGGCAAATACTAGACCAAGATGTTTCTGGTAATCCAATGTCTTTTACCAATAAGGTACTTTGGAAAAATTTGCCTTAAACTACGTTTAAGAAGAAAGAAATATGGGCCGGGGATTTAGCTCAGTGGCACCACGCCTGCGTTGCAAGCACAAGGTCCTGAGTTCAATACCCAGTACCAGAAGAAAAAAGAAGGAAGCCACTTGTACATCACCTATGTCTCTAATAGTCAACTCAATTGCACTCTAGTCTGGTGAGGCATTTGTTGGCCATACTGAGGAAACTGGTCACCACTTATTATATCATTTCTGTATAAAAATATCTTTTTAAGTTCTCAGCAACTGATTTAACATTTTGGTTTTAGACTATAATCTGGTGATATGTTTAGATTGCCTGTAGTGACTCCTAACTGTAAACATGATCATTAAACGTTTCTGGTTAAAGATGTAGCAGTCTTTAAAACAAGTAGTCATAGTGAATACCAACTTCCTCTGAATACAGTGGGCAAAGGAGACTTTCTGGATCCAGTACTGCATGCTCTTACCCATGCTATAAAAGTCCCTGAGTCTGTCCCCTCCTGGTTCATCTACTCCTCTTGCCCTTCTGACTGCTCTTGACTTTCTGAACCATTTGACTCAGCTTTACATGTCCTTTGCTTATGTCTGAGCCATTCCCTTATAACTTTTACCTGTTTTTTGACACCTAGTTTCCTCCATTCAGTTAGTCCATGTGTCTCATACGTTCACAGCTTCTTCTCCATAGCTAACCCCCCCATCACATGCACACCATGTGTACTCTGGTTTCATGACCTTAATACTTCACTTTTAATGATATGTAGGAAACCCAGGATGAGTCAGCTGTGTTATGGTTGGATGAAATCCAAGGTGGAGTCTGGCAGTCCAACAAAGACACCCAGGAAGCCCAGAGATGTACGTATGAGGTGTTGTGTCTCTGTTCTGGTGGGGGTGAGGTGCCCCATGTCTCGATATTCAACTTGGCCAAGCTAGAACAGTGGGTAGTAGGTATAATTAGGCAAACTAGTGTGTAAATTTAGACACTTTCCAATCTGTTCCATAACAGTTCTCTTCTGGAATAGTTGCTTTAGGAATCTTTGCCATTAATGAGGCAGTTGAAAGTAGTGATATTGGTAAAACCCTGAGTGCCCTTCGTTCTCCTGATGTGGGCTTATATGGAGTCATCCCTGAGTGTGGCGAAACTTACCAGAATGACCTTGCCGAAGCCAAGAAGAAAAAACTGGGAGCAGGTGAGTTATTGGAAAATAGATGTAAGTATGTGCCCTGAAGCTAAGCCCTTGAGTTTGTGAGCGGACAAATGTAGTGGAAAGGGACGAGCTGTAGGGAAAGATGTTTCAGTGTACAGGTGCAGTACTTAGGCTCACTTAAAAGGAGATGCTCTCCTGGGTTTCTCAGATATCCCCCCTCCCTGGCAGACAGCTGTGTTGTCAAGGTCAACTTTATGAGAATGTGAGAAGGATCACAACACTTGGCTGTTATCCTTCATAGGGCACTAGAGCTCTCATGATATAAGGCTTTAGTCAGTTAAAAGTAGTTTATCTGCAAAAAGGAGTCAAGTTGGCCTTTTTTTCTCCATAGTTAGAGATGCTGAATGGTTGTAAATCTTTATCACAATAGTTTTCTGGCATGTAGGTCTTAGAATACTAGACTTTGGAAAGAACAAAGCTAGTCATGGTTATTTCTGTAATTAAACTTCATTAGTATTTTTATACTGTTGATATGAATGATGTAACTTAGACATTCTATAGCCATAATTTATTGGAGACTTAGGGTGTCCCTTCACTCTGAAAGATCCAAGGAACAGGTTTGGGAAATGCTATTCATAGGGATGATTAACTCTGCCGAGAATATCCTATAATATTACAGATGTGAGAGTGTGCCTCTGGGTTTCTTTTATCTTCCTGTTATTTTCTGCCAGGAGATAATAACAGCAAGTGGGTAAAGCACTGGGTGAAAGGTGGATATTATTATTACTACAATCTGGAGACCCAAGAAGGAGGATGGGATGAACCCCCAGACTTTGTGCAGAATTCTATGCAGCTTTCACGGGAAGAGATTCAGGTAAGTCACCTTCCTTCACATAAGAAAGACCCAAGAGAAAGTGTTTTAGAACTAATGCTAAAGAAGAGCAGGGCACATGGGTAGAAGCCCTACACTAAAATCTATGCCCCATAATGAACCATTTCAGAGTAATGTTTTAGTGGTTTGGGGGCAACTAAGGCCTAGGTTAGTAAGATATCTGAATTGCAGCGTTAAGTGAGAGGTATGTGCTTATAAAAGAAGACCTGGAGGAGGGAGCCAGGGAGTCTCTGCCTTTCACTTGTTCAGAGGGTCATGAAAACTGTAGGTACACAGCTCAGTACACCACAAGGCAGAGAGGAATGGGCACTGGTTACAGCACACTGATAGGTTTGCTAAGGGTGAATATAATCTGCTCTGGAGGAAGATGGCATAGGCAGTGTGTATGCTAACAGATGAGAAAGAGAGGAAGGACTGGTATGGACAGAAGAGACAGGGTGGGTGGGCAAAGGCACCAGGGATTGCACAGACTGTCTAAGGAATGTTGATTGTCATATGGTGGGTGCAGTAAGAACAGGGAGGCCCACCATGCGCTGTACTGTGGAACCCAGGCAGCATTTTGTGGAGGGACTCTAGAGTCAGGGACACCTTTGAGCACCTTACTAACCTCCATGTGTTTTGCATACAGACAACAAGGCAATGATGCCAACCTCCTACCCCCACCCCACAGTGGCCATGAGTGCTGCTCCTCGAACTCTCCCCGCCTCTGCACCTGGATCTATACATAATCCTCCATCACTTTCTCTCCAGAAAAACATCTCTGCTTTTCAAAGGTCATTGTTCATCATTTGGCTCTATGCTGTTGTCTTCCAGTTTCTTGCAGACCTCATGGGCCTCCTCTTCTCATACTTTCAGTTATTCTTCTGTCACTTAGCTTCTCTGTCACTTAGTTTGGTCCTTATCTGGGTTTCATGTGTACTCAAGGCACCTTGGGCTCTTGTTACACTGAAGGTCCTGAGCCTGCAGGTCCAGGTGGGGCTGAAGGTACATTCCTGACAAGTTGCAGGTGAGGTCTGGGTTGCTGATTGGAGGCCTTTTTGTGTAGGCACCTATATAATCATGTCTTCTTTATCTTAAAGAGCAGACAAATGTAAAGCCTTGAGAATTCCCTGTATTTTGGCATCACCCACGTTCCAACTCTTTGTTCTTGCTAGGTGCCCTCAACTCATTCTGTTAACACTCTCATAGCAATTTGGGTTCCTGCCCAGCTTTTACTTTAGTAAAACTCTTATTTTAGAATTGAGCAATAATCTTCTAATTGCCAGATTTATTTAGGAGGGCTAATCATATTTGACCTCTATGAGGTACTTTCCTTAAACCCTCAATTCTCAGGCATCTCCAGAGCAGTTCTCTCAGGTTTTCCTACTTCTGACTGTCCCTTAATCTCTTGTTCCTGCCACCTTTCTTCTGCCTCTACTTGAATTGAAACAGGATTCCCTCTTCACTCTTCTGTGTGCTCTTTCTGAGCTCTCTCTCTCTCGTGATTGTGACTCCCAGGTCTTGTCCTCACCCTCAGGTTTGTCCTTCTATCTGCATCATAGTAGCACACGGCTCAAACACACGTGGACTGAAAAAAGCAGGCTGAAGTAGCAGATAAGGTTTTTTTGTTTTTCCCCGTCACATAAAATAACTGTATTTCTGGAGTCTGATGGTCCAGAGAAGGTGTGGTATCCTGGCATCTTCCTGTCTTTTTGCTCTGTCGTTCTTAGCATGTAGCTTCCCTTCTCAAGGTCCCCTTGCTGCACGCAATGTTAGCTTGGAGCTCTGTCCACTGAGCAGCCCTGGCAAGAAGTAGGGGGAAGAGGAAGAAAAGCAGAAGCCTTGCTGCCCACTGTGTCTCCCTCCAAAATTCCTTTTTTTTTTTTTTGGTACCAGTGATCGAACTCGGGACTTTGTGCTTGTGAGGCAGGCGGAACCACTAAGCTAAATCCCTGGCCCTCCTAAATTCTTAGCAAACTCTCTCTGCTCACCAGGTGTGGCTTTCTTGAGCTCCTGTAATCCTGAGTGTACAGCGTGTAGCTGTTGAGCCAGCAGCCAGGTGCTCTTCCTAGCCCTTCCCACTACTGTCAGCCTCGTTTCAGCCCCTGCCTTCTTTAGCTGGCAACGGCTGCATCTGCACCACCCACATCTTCAAATCTCTTTTCACCCAGTCTGTCAGGCACTCTGCTAGTAGTATTGTTTTTCTAAAAACTAACTCTGATTTTTGAACCCATTACTCTGAGCAACAGTCCAGACCATCTGGGCTGCTTTTCAAGACCATATGCAGCGTGTGGAGGATGAGGAGGTGTCCTGCACCTCACCATTCCAGGGGCTGCCTGGTGCTTAGTTTCCCACCTTGGTGGCACCTGTCATTCTGTTTTCTTGCCAACAGTGACCCCAGCTCTGCCAGCTCAGTTCCTACAGAGTCAGTGGGGCTAGCGCATGGGTAAAGGAGGCCCTAAAAACATAGCTGAAGCTCTAGTACAGGTTGAGGAGGTGGTGAGGGTCAGTTTGTGTGCTCTTAATGATCAATGCTTAGTTAAAGTTTGGGTCCATTCTCACCAGTGAATGTCTTTGAATGTGAACCAATGCCTTTTCAGAGTTCCATCTCTGGGGTGACAGCAGCGTATAACCGAGAACAGCTTTGGTTGGCCAACGAAGGCTTGATCACTAAGCTGCAGGCTTGCTGCCGTGGGTACCTGGTCCGACAGGAATTCCGCTCCCGGATGAATTTCCTGAAGAAACAGATCCCTGCCATCACCTGCATTCAGGTATTTCCCATCCCGCAGGCAGGCATCTAGAGCAGGCCTAATAAACTGTCGACTCTCAAGACTGGATCTGTGTGTTCCTCAGCTTCTGACTCCTCTCTTCTTGACAAACACTTTTTCTTTGCTGTCATCATAATTAGTATGCTCTCTGGCATTTAATGGTGGTTGGTGGCCCAGTAGCATTTCTTGTGAGCTTCTTGTCTCCTAATTCTGTGCCTTCGGGTAGGATTTGAATCTTAAAAGAAGCAGCTGTGGGTTTGCTTCCATGGCAGGATAGCCTAATGTCACAGAGAGACCTGAGTTAGGCCACACTGCTGCCAGCAGTGGTGACTCAGTCTGCTTCCTCAGTGTAAAGCAGGATGCTCATGGTTACCCTCCTCAAATGACTTGTGAGGAGCCAAACAGGTGTGAATCTGTATGCTGCACCTAAGAAGGTGAATGCTGGGCTTAGGATTTAGCTCAATGGTTCAGCCGCCTGCCTCACAAGCACAAGGACCCAAGTTCGATCCCTGGTACCAAAAAAAAAAAAAAAAGTGAATGCTGTGCAGATGTCATCAAGTGGAATCGAACCATTGCATTCTCCTGGGGGAGATATGGCCTGTTCCTCATTCTGCCAGTGCTGCTAATGGGGTCTTTTCTAAAGCTTACCATGAAATTTTATTCAATTGTACATCAAATGGGATTTTTTAAACTTTAACTGTTCCCTGATGGATAATGTCATCTGTAATGTTTGATGGCTTTAGTCACAATGGAGAGGATACAAGCAGAAGAAGGAATATCAAGACCGGTTAGCTTACCTGCGTGCCCATAAAGATGAAGTTGTGAAGGTACGGTGCCTGAGCAGGTTTTCTTGATGTGGGTGTCTCGTGATGGGTTGCGATGAAAGACTCTTTTAAGTTCCAGGCCCTTATCCACAGATTCAGTCCCTGGCAAGGATGCATCAAGCTAGGAAGCGCTACAGAGATCGCCTGCAGTATTTCCGAGACCATGTGAGTACTGCTGGGAATCCAGGCCTGTGGGATCGGGTCTGCTCTATGGTGGATGGACAGATGGGCAAAGGAATCTCTCTTTCTGTTCCTTAGATAAATGACATTATCAAAATCCAGGCCTTTATTCGGGCAAACAAAGCTCGTGACGACTACAAGACTCTGAGTGAGTAACTGCCTCAGCGGTGGCGAACTGAAGCAGTGCTATGCTCCCTCCTCAGATCTCATTGGGTGTCCTGAGGCGAGGCTTGGGGGAGGGGTGCCAGATGTGGTTTCCACCCCTCTGCCCAGCAGCGTGTTGCCTGCCCCCCTAGCCTTTGTTGTAATGTAGCAGTAACATTACTGAGGGGGCTGTAATTGCTGGTGTCACACATCTCAAAAACAACTCTCTTGTGTGTGATGGAAGCTGCTTTTTCAGGATGATGCTGACACTTCCCAGGATGCAGTTCTTGTTTGGGTAGCTCTGTTCCTGTCTGAGCCACACTCTTTTTTTTCTGTCAGTCAATGCTGAGGATCCACCTATGCTTGTGGTCCGAAAGTTTGTCCACCTGCTGGACCAGAGTGACCAGGATTTCCAAGAGGAGCTTGACCTCATGAAGATGCGAGAAGAGGTCATCACCCTCATTCGTTCCAACCAGCAGTTGGAGAATGACCTCAACCTCATGGATATCAAAATTGGACTGCTGGTGAAAAACAAAATCACACTGCAGGTGTGGCCCGGTGCCTGGGAGGGAGGCTTTGGGGCACTTTGTCCTGCTTTATGGCTCCTGCTGCCGATCTCTGTCTCTGTCTCTGTCTCATCTCCCTCCCTCCTCTTTCCTCTCCCATAAAACTTGGCTCCTGCCTTCTCTCCTGGCTCATGGGCTGGGTGGAGACTGACTTTCTTCTCCGCCAATGCCATGATGTTTTTTAAGTTCTATAAGAAATGAAACAGTTTATTAGACAAAATTTTAGAAAAGATAAAAACTTTCCCCTAATTCTACCACCCTACATTTTGTAGTTTGTTTTTACTTAATACTAGAAGACTCTTTTCATGTGGTAAATAGTTTTAATAACAGCATAATACTTCATTTAAAAATATGCTACTATGATTTACTTCGTTTTTCTTCCCCTACTATTTGATGCTTAGGTTGTTTTCCCAAGTTTTTGTTACAGAGAACAGTGCAGGCCAAGTGTGGTAGTGGATGCCTATAATTCCAGCATTCAGGAAGATCATAAATTCAAGCCCAGCTTGGACAACTTAACTACTTAGCAAGACCCTGTCTCAAAACAAAAAAGGGCTGGGGATGTAGGTCAGTGTGAAGGTCCTGGATTCAACCCCTAGTATCAATCAAGCAGTAAATGTGCAATTAATATCTAAATATATGAGTCTTTAATTGTATTTAAGACTTTTTTTTGGTAGTGGGGATCAAACTCAGGACCTTGCACTTTCGAGGCAGGCAGTGGAACCACCAAGCTAAATCCCCGGCCCCTAAGACTTTTTTTTAATAGGGAGTGTGTTGCCTAGTATGGCCTCAAACACCTGGGCTCAAATGATCCCCCTGCATTATCCTCCTGAGTATGAGATGTGTTGTAAAGATAGATTCCTCATTCCATGGGTTTCCCCTAAACCCATGTGGAGAAACCCATAGCTCAGGGTGGTTATGGGAAGGTGGAAGTAGAGCTGAAGGTGGTTGATAAATGAAAACAGGACAAAGTAGGCTTTAGTGCTTGTGAAATGTTGACTGGGGATCCACCAGCACAGTAGACCTTCATGCAAGTATGCAGGTGCTAGAAGCCCCTTCCATAGCACCCACCTTCTTCTTTAAACACTTTTTGATCCTCGTATTGTCTTTTTGTTTATAGGATGTGGTTTCCCACAGTAAAAAGCTTACCAAAAAAAATAAGGAACAGCTATCTGATATGATGATGATAAACAAGCAGAAAGGGGGCCTCAAGGCCTTGAGTAAGGAGAAGAGAGAGAAGCTGGAAGCTTACCAGCACCTGTTTTATCTGTTGCAGGTAAGTGACTCCTGGTTTTGGTGCTATCAGATTTAGTCAGTGTGGTTCTCCACAAGGAAACTTTACCCATAAATCTCTCTGGAAGTATTTTTGATTTGCATGGAGGGTATATGAAGGGCTATCTTAAGGGTTTTTTACTTCTAATGTTCTAATCTTTCAAGTTTAAAAAACTTGAATATTTTTTGCCAGCCTTTTATTACCTAGAAATCACTTATCCCTTGGTTTTATTTCAGACCAATCCCACCTATCTGGCCAAGCTGATTTTTCAGATGCCCCAGAACAAGTCCACCAAGTTCATGGACTCTGTGATCTTCACACTCTACAACTACGCCTCCAACCAGCGTGAGGAATACCTGCTACTGAGGCTCTTTAAGACAGCGCTGCAGGAGGAGATCAAGTATGCAGACTGCTGCACAGCAGGGCCTTCCCACTGCCATGGACCTTCACAATTTTTTATTCAGACCCTCCTGGGTCCCCCTCCCCCTTTTTAAAGTGGTACTAGGTACTGGGGATTAAACCCAAGGCTTTCACACTGCATTATGTCCCCACACCCCCTTTTTTTTTTTACTTTGAGGACAAGGTCTGGCTGAGTTGCCCAGACTGGGCTTGAACTTGCAGTCTTTCTGCTTCAGCCTCCCAAAGTGCTGAGATTACAGGTGTATACCTTTTTTTGAGCTCAGTTAATTTTTGAGAAATACTTATTATAAAGAAACCTTTAGCCAGGGATTTAGCTCAGTGGTTCCAGCGCCTGCCTGGCAAGCGCAAGGTCCTGAGTTCGATCCCCGGTACCAAAAAAAAAAAAAGAAACCTTTACTTTTAAAATTACAGCATTAAGTGTTGCTGCTCCTGGGGAGGGGGTAGAATAAGAGATTTGCTAAATTAATTTTAGAAATAGTTTACAGAGATACAATTTCAAGAAATCTGATCCAAACATGAAGGTCCCTCTTGTAGGACGGAGGACCTAATCATGACTCCCATGATCTCGTGGATAGCTATAGGAAGGCCCTGTGAATGTCAGGAGCTATTTCCAGAGAAAGTCTCTGCTTCCAGGAGATAAGATCTTTAGGTAGGAGAGATTTTAAGTTGATAGATTCTAAGATGCATGTAAATTGAATTTGTATCTGATATTTTATAGGTCAAAGGTAGATCAGATTCAAGAGATTGTGACAGGCAATCCAACAGTCATCAAGATGGTTGTGAGTTTCAACCGAGGTGCCCGGGGCCAGAATGCCCTGAGACAGATCCTGGCCCCTGTCGTGAAAGAGATTATGGATGACAAATCTCTCAACATCAAAACTGACCCTGTGGATATTTACAAAGCTTGGGTTAATCAGATGGAATCTCAGACAGGAGAGGCCAGGTAAGAAAACTGTAACACTTTTTCTTCCATGGTTTTATTTTCTTGCTATATATTTAAATATAGTTACCTTGATTAATAAAATAATAATTGGGTCGGGGATTTAGCTCAGTGGTTCCGTCGCCTGCCTCACAAGCGCAAGGACCTGAGTTCGATCCCCAGTACCAAAAAAACAAAACAAAACAAAACAAAAAAATAAAATAAAATGAAATAATAATTTCTCTAATACCTTTTCCTTAGAAAACTTTTTTTAATTGTTTGAGCTGGTAATAAATTCACTTATTTAACAAATACTAAGTACTTACCACATGCTAGGCATTATGATAGATAACACATACAGTGAAACATACAGTAATGAATGGACCAGATATGCTCCCTGCCATCTCTTCATAACTTATTGAGGAAGAGAGACAGCAAACAGACACTGGGCTTGGTGGCACATGCCTGTAATCCCAGCACTTAGTAAGCTGAGACAGGAGGACCACCGAAAGTTTGAGGCCAGCCTGGGCTACATAGTGAGTTTAAAGTGAGACTGAACTACATAGTGAGACCTGTCTCCAAAAAGGAAGAAAGACACCAAGTGGGTACATAAAAATAATGACAAATCAAGGAAAGTTGCAGGAAGCTTTACATGTAGTGCTATAGCAGAGTACAAGTGGCAGCTAGAGTAGATAGGGTGCCTAGGGAAAACTATCAGAGGAGGTCAGATTTCATGTGGCTGAGGCCAAAACAGCAAGATGGTACTGGCCTTGCCCTGGGCTGGGTGTTGAGCATTCCTGTCTGGTAGCCCAAGGGTGATGGTCTCAGACCTGCAAGTGGATGTGCAGCTGAGTGGGGAGGTCTATGGAGGCTGAGATTGCTGTGTTTCATTAGAGGAAAGAGAAAATGCTGTGAGGTGAATGGGAACTGTCCTGAAATATTCGGATTAAACTAGTGAATCTGTTTTACAGGAGGTTACTGTGCCAGGGCTGTAGTTCAGCCACCAACATTAATGTATCTAAAGCAAAAGTGAGTAGGTTGAACATGGGTAATGCTGGGAAGGCAAAATTCAGAGAACCAAAATGTTACTGATTTTATTCAGCTTGGGTGAAGACCCAGAGGGGTGGGGAATGGCTGTATTGAGCAGCGTGGTGTCTGGTGGGTTTTTGTTATAGAGTAGGGTTAGATCATGTGTGAAGCTCTCTGGAGTTTAGGAGTAGCTTTCCACACCATAGCTATTCAAAGTGTGATTTGTGCAGCAGTGACAGAAAATCGAGTGCATCAGTCACGAAGGACACTATTCATTTTAGCTGACATATTTTTCATAGCGAGACTTTCTTGGTGTAGGAAGCAATGTGTTTGTTGGTTTACCTTCCCAGGCCATCTTCTTGTCATCTGCTGATGTGTAGACCAGCAATAGGCCACACTCTGAATAACCCTGCTTTGCATTCATTATTCTACCTCCCGTGTACCTCACATTATGCAGCAAGGAGTGGAAAGGCTTGTCCCTTGCTGGGAGTCATTCAGCATCTGATTTGGTTCTTAGTACTCTAGATCATGTCACCAGGACTCAGATCACTGCTGGATGTGATGAAATACATTTGTGAAGTTTTTCTTTATTTATTTTTGTTTTCTTTCTCCTCTTCCTTCCTCTATTTTCTCTTTCTGTAGCTCTGGGGATTGAACCCAGTTCCTCAAGCAGGCTGAGCATTCTGCTACACAGTGACACCCTCAGGGTTGCCTGGGATCTTCTGCCTGCACCCAGGTCCCTAGATAACAGCCTCATGGGCACTGGCTCAATTTAGTGAAGTTATTTCCTGTGATGGTCCATGAGTTTAGTCACTTTCTGGTTTTAGTTTTTGTTTTTTGAGACAGAGTCTCACTATGTAGTTCAGGCTGCCCTTGAACTTGAGACAATCCTCCTGCCTCTGCCTCGAAAGTGCTAGGATTACAGGTGTGCACCTCTGGCTGAGTCAGTCATTTTCAAATCAAAATTCCACTGTCCACTTCAGTATTTTGTTCTTTGTGGATATCTGTAACAATATGGCATTTCATAAAATGGAAATTAATTTAATACTTTTTGATACCAGTCATTGAGGTGTGGTGGGGTAGGACCCTGTCCTGCATGTGAGCATCACCATCCTGGAGTTTTGCTTCTGTGTTTTAACCGCCTAACCCAACAGGCTGAGACCTTGTTACTGCTCAAGATAAGCTCATCTCTAAAATCTTACAAAGTTGAATATGCTTTTCTCTGACTATATCCACAAATTAGTACTCTCATTCTCTTTGCTCATCACCAGCTTTCCCTTTTTTTTTTTTTATGTACAGAACTCAGGACCTTGTGCTTGGTAGGTGAGTACTATGCCACCAAGCTACATCTTCAGCCCCACCCCACTTCACTACTTTTTAAAAATATTAAATATGCATGAGGTTATTATAAATTTTACTGATATAAAAGATGCACTGGTAGGATATAATTTTAAAATAATAAAATAAAAATAATGTACAGTATTCCTTATTGAGCATTCCAGATAGCTTATTTCTTTTTTTTTTTTTTGGTACTGGGGATCGAACTCTGGTCCTTGCGCTTGCAGATAGCTTATTTCTTACAGAATGTTTTTGTTGATTTTTGCTTAATTCTTATAGTTCTACCTGTGAATGTAATTGAGCCACACTATGATGAACAGGGTTGTGTTCCCATCTACTTAGTTTCTTAGGGCTGCTGTAACAAATCACCACAATCACTGACTCTGAACAACAGAAGTTTATCTTCTCATAGCTCGGGCAGCTGAAGTCTAAAATCTCATCATCGCTGGGTTGAAGCCCAGGTACCTGCAGGGCCAAGCTCCCTGGGACTGTGCCGCAAAAGTTGTTCCTTGCTTCTTCCAGCTTCTGGTGGCACTTGTGGCCAAAGGGCTGCAACTTTCTACCTCCCTGGGTACATTGTACCTCCTCTTCTGGGTGTACAAATCTCCCTTTGCCTTTCTCTTACTATGGTTAGGGTTTAGAGCTCACTTGGATAATACAATCCAAGGTAAATCACTACTATAGTTTTTTGTGGGGTTTTTTTGGTGGTACTGAGGCTCAAACCCAGGGGCACTTTGCCCCTGAGATACATCTGGAACCCTTTTTATTATTTTTTTTTTCCCCTTTTTATTATTTTGAGACAGGGTCTCACCAACTTGGGCAAGCAAGACTCGAACTTGGAATCCTCCTGCCTCAGCCTCCCCCAAAGCTGGGATTATAGGCTGGTGGCGGGCACCTAGCTTTACTATTACTGTTTGGCCTAGCTTAAAGTACTAGGATCCTGACTTCTGTATTTTATTTTGCCTTTGACCTTCCTGTGTCCTTCTCTCCTTCCTGATGAGGCCTAGGTTCCAAGTTCTAGGTCAGTGACTCTTCTCATGCACTTTCTTCTGACTTAGTGTCCCCTCCTTGAGTGATCTTACCAGTGCCTCTGGCTTATACTCCTGTGTCTGTATCCCCCTTCACTGCTGTCCATGGAGCCACCAAGGCTGCTGACCATTGAGTCTCCTTATTACCAGCAGGATCTCTTGGTCCCCCTGCTGCATCCTTGCTCAGGCTGTGGCTCAGGTCTTCTGCCTCCCTGATTCCCTCCTTGTGGTGGACCAGAATAGTCTTCATCAAAACACCCATCTCCTGACCTTTCAGGGCTCCTTTTGGCTTCTGGAAAGTGCAGACCTATCAACAGTATACACAGGGGCCCTCTAAGGCCTGGTCCCTGGTAACTTTTCTACTCTAATTTCTCCTCCTCTGTTCCCTTCCTTTGCAATTGTCCTTGCCTTCTGGGAGACCCTTCCTCTACCTTTTTCCTGAGTTGATATGTTGCTCCATTTTGGAAGCTTTCCTTGCTCTCTCCAGTCTGAGTAGCAGCTCCTTCCTTCCCTGCAGTCCTGCAGCTCTTCTAGCCAACTTGCATGCTTGGGCCTCATGCATGTGAAGGAAACAAGTGCTTTACCCCTGAGCTGCCCCTCCAGCCTTCACCAGCTCTTATAGCAGTGGTGGTGAACCATAGTACACATACCATAACCAGCTGTTTATTATCATTGAAAGCTCTAATAGGTTTGTCATCGCTGGCTTATAGTTATCTTTGTGTCTCTCCCACTGGGGTGTAAGAGACTCCGGAAAAGAGGGTGTGTCTTACTTATCTTTTATTGCTGTTTGTCATAGTGCCTGGCACATAATTGAGCCACTCGGCTCACAGCTGGAAACCTGAGTTTAGATTCTAGCCCCACCGTCTGCAGCTCTGTGAACATAAGCTTAAGTTGCCTGACCTCACTGGTCTTTCCATTTATGAAAGGCCTGGTCCCTGTCCCCAACGGTCCATCTAACATAATTGGGCTAATTTCTCTTTCCCAGCAAACTGCCCTATGATGTGACCCCTGAGCAGGCTCTGGCTCACGAGGAAGTGAAGACTCGACTGGACAACTCCATCAGGAACATGAGGGCCGTGACAGACAAATTCCTCTCCGCCATCATCAGCTCTGTGGACAAAATCCCGTGAGTGCTACCCTTGTCACAACCCAGGTGGAGCCCTGCGGTGGCCTCTGCTGCCCCTCTCACCAAGTGTTGTCCATCCCACAGTTACGGAATGCGCTTCATTGCCAAGGTGCTGAAGGACTCCTTGCATGAGAAGTTCCCAGATGCTGGTGAGGACGAGCTGCTAAAGGTAAGAACCTGAAAACCAGAGATTTCTGCCCCTTGCATGGCCCCAGACTAGTCCTGACCACAGACTGCAGACTGTCAGTGCCCATATGTAAGTTCCAGCCTGGCTCATCATGGGTTGTGAGCTTTTTTGAAAGCTATTGGAAATAGTAAATGATAGCTTAGCATGAAACAGTTCCTATTCAATATGAACAGCACATGATGTACATCAAAAATAGAGAAAGATGGAATATGTATTTTGTTTCCTGTCCTAAATTAAATCTTTGAGTCCTATCTTTTCGCTGAAGTTACTCCCTCTGCTGGTGGCCACGTGAATAGCAGCAAGTGGGATAATTTCTGCTAAGGCTATTGCTGCTGATGACTCTCTTCTTACTCAGCTGTACTCCTTCTTTTTTTTTTTTTTTAATCTGAACGCTTTTTTCTTCTCTCTCCTAGTCCTGTGCTTTCCTACAGTGAGGCCTCGATTCTAGACTTTCTGTTCAGGTGAATTAATTTTATTTTTTCTGGATGAAACTCTAGGGGAAATGCTGTGACTGCCCTTGCAATCATCTGTGGAAGAAATGTGTGTTGAGTGAATTTCATTTCAGAGGCATGAACTTGGCCTTTGAAGCCTGTGCATGAGGAGGAAAGGGGTTGGAGATAGCCCTGTGCTAACAGGTCATCCTTCAGGGCTTACTTTGGTTACATTCATTACCTTCTTAGAGTAAAAGCCCCCATGTGAACATAGAGTGCTCGTGGATGACAGGGGCCTTGTTTTAGTCACATGTGAACAAAAGATGCCCTAAAGTATTTGATAATACTTTAAAGCTATCATTTTTACTTTCTGAATCTGCTCTTTAATTACTGGTAGTGATTTTCAGTTCTCCCCCCAACCCCCAACATCCAATAAGAGTTTTCTGGCCCTAGGCCTTAAGAGGAAGTGTATGTGCATGCGTGTGTGTGTGTGTGTGTGTGTGTGTGTGTGTGTGTATTTTATTTATTTTTTCCTCACAGGAGTACATTTTCTTTTCTAGCAAAGTCATTTGTGGCTTACTTGGTGGTGTGGTTTTTTGCTACCTGTCCTTCTGCTTCATCTATTCCCAGATTATCGGTAACTTGCTCTACTACCGATACATGAACCCAGCTATTGTTGCCCCTGATGCCTTTGACATCATCGACCTGTCAGCAGGAGGCCAGCTGACTACAGACCAGCGCCGCAATCTGGGCTCCATTGCAAAGATGCTGCAGCACGCAGCTTCCAATAAGATGTTTCTGGGAGATAATGCCCACTTAAGCATCATTAATGAATACCTTTCCCAGTCTTACCAGAAATTCAGGTAAGGAGAAAGATGCTGTGGGTGTGTTTTTATCTCTGAAGGAAGGATGAGATTAAATACCACCCGAGCTTTCCTTGGATAGCCATGGTGCAGGACATGTCTTTGTTGTCCTCAGGACTCCCACAGATGGTGTATGTATATGTACATTTATTTTCATTTTGAATAATTTTCAAAAAATTGTTTTATTGGTACATATTCTACAAATAGAATACAACCCTACAGGCCGGGGATTAAGCTCAGTGGTTTCGCTGCCTGCTGCGCAAGCTCAAGGACCTGAGTTCGATCCCTGGTACCAAAAAAGAAAACAAAAAAAAATCCCAAAGGTACATATTTGTAATACATAATGATTATGTTCATTATAGGGAGTCAGTACATGTATGTGACATTTCTTCTTTTTTTAAAAAAAAAGAATCCTCTTCCCTCGCCATCCTGGCCATGCGTTTGTTTTTTTGTTGTTTTGTTGAGACAGGGTCTCACTATGTGGTCCAGGCTGACCTTGAACTCACTATGTAGCCCAGGCTGCCCTCAAACTCACAGTGATCCTCCTGCCTCAGCCTCCCAAGCACTAGGATTATGAGCATGCACCATTAGGCCCAGCCTAATGTGTGAGGTGGACAACACTTAATGGGAAAACAATGGCTCTGAATTAGATCCTTGTTACTTTGTAACCAGAGAGAAAATGTAGAGTGGTTTTCCTATCTGTAAATTAAGTCTAGGCTCAAATTGAATGCCTCAAAACACTCTCAGGGGGCAGGGGATTTAGCTCAGTGGTTCCACCGCCTGCCTCACAAGCACAAGGACCCAAGTTCAATCCCCGGAACCAAAAAAAAAAACACTCTCAGAGGTAAACAGCACAGGTGTCTAGAACTGTTTTACTGTGATTGAGTAGTTCTTGTGGGTACAGCTAAAAGTAAATGGAGAAGTTTTTAGAGCCAGTATCCCAGCCTGTCAAGCAGCAGGCATCCCACAATTCCTTTAGTATCGGCTCACTTTCTGGCTTCTGTCAGAACTCATTTTGTGAGAGGTTTGTGGGTCGTCCTCTCTTACTGCTTGGCACGAGTCACTTTTGAGGGGCTGCTTCCTTTGCTTGCTTTCAGACGGTTTTTCCAAACTGCTTGTGATGTCCCAGAGCTTCAGGATAAATTTAATGTGGATGAGTATTCAGATTTAGTAACCCTCACCAAACCAGTTATCTACATTTCCATTGGTGAAATCATCAACACCCACACTGTAAGTATTTTTCTTTAATTACTTAATTCTACTGCTTAGTCATTAATTACCTTCCCTGACTGCTGCTTCTGTCTCTGGTAGCCAGGAATCTTCCCCCTCTGTGCTCTTGATGACACTGAATCTTTGTGTTGTCTCTTTTCCTTTGTTTTTATTATCCTGGTGGTGTCTTGTTTTTACAATACTGGCCTTTGAACCCCACAGTCTCCTGAATACTAGGCAAGTTGAGTATTCTTCCACCAAGCTATTCCTCTGGCATTGTTTATTGTTTATTATTCTTATACCTACTGCTAAGTTTTTGCAAACTTCTCTTTGGCCACCTACACCAGCACCATCCCTTCTGTAGCTACAGTGCAGTTGCCAGGGCCTCACCATGTCTGTGCTGCCTAGAATCACTGGCATGGGCTCCAGAGTGGCTGCAGGTGTCTCCTCAGATAGCTTGATAAACTTCAGCCCTCTGCATTATTGTAGTGTAACCCACAATACCAGTATCATCTTCTCCATAGCCTTGAAATAAATTCTCCCATGGAAGCTCCCTGTTTGTACAGATTTTTCACGTGATTAATTTCCCTGTGGGGACATTGTAGAACAAGAAATGAGGACATGTGTAAGTGAAATTTCAGAGTCTGTTATTGCTGAGAACATCGCCTGGAATAATAGCATCTCATAGGGTTTGTTCGTACCACTAAGATGGTAACAGTCTCGAGCTGGCATGCTCTTCTCTGGATGAAAAGATATTGTACACTGGTTGAGTTTGAACTCCAGCACTGCAAAAGACAAACACAAACCAACAAGAAATAAAACCCCCAGTAACAACCAAAAAAGATGTTCTCTGGAAACATTAGGAAAACCCTGCATGTGACTGGACTGGAACTGGTGGTAGGGTAGGTGGTTAATTTGAATGTTGAGGTCTCCGATTGCATTGTTGTTTCTGACACAGGCACCTTCGCACCCATTATGGCCGTGCAGTTCAAAAAATGTAGTCATTTCTCCTCTGTGCATCATGGCATGGGCCATTCATTCAGCACAAGCCAGGGTGGGGCTTACTAAACTCCGTTGTTCATCTGGGTTGGGCTCCAGAGGGCTGCTATGAATACAGGAGCCTTGTTGCTCAGCCTCTCTTGCTTGTGCAGATCACTACTGTCTGAGAGTATGGGAGTGGGGGACCAGAATGTGAGTGTGAAGATGGGGTTGATTGTGGGGTCTTTGCAGCTCCTGTTGGACCACCAGGATGCCATTGCTCCAGAGCACAACGACCCCATCCACGAGCTGTTGGATGACCTGGGAGAGGTGCCCACCATCGAGTCCCTGATAGGTAATGTTCTGACTAACCCGTCTAGAAGTGAGTGGACCTGACAGATCAGTGTTGTGATGGTCATCACCTATAGCTTTGCACTATATCAAATTTGGGATATATATTGGAAAACAGAACAAATGTGGTCCTTTAGTATGAGGAGCTAAAGCACAGTGAGAGATTATGTTAGAGACAAAAACAAATAATCATAGAAGAGAAATTTTAAATCCTATTAAGGAAAGAATATTTTGAGAAAGAATTGTGATATTGCAATGTTGAAATGATTTGGCAAACTAATGAAATTATATTTTAGATCCTTGGCCTTTATCATTTGATGTATTTTATTTCTCAGTGAAAGATGTTCTTGCCACATGTGTGTGTTGGTTTTTCAAGTATTTGAGATTTGCATCATCTTTTATTTGTATTATTTTCTTCCCAATGTTGCCTCCTCTTATTATATTGACCCTTTAGGGGAAAGCTCGGGGAGTTTAAATGACCCAAACAAGGAGGCACTAGCCAAGACAGAAGTGTCTCTCACGCTTACCAACAAGTTTGATGTGCCTGGAGACGAGAATGCAGAAATGGATGCTCGGACCATCTTACTGAAGTGAGTGTTACAAGTAGAAGGGTGCAGTGACATGATCCAAAGATGCCGCGCTTTTGGGGAGGGAGCCCACTGGGTTACTCCTAGGGCAGTCATCCTGGCCTCTCAGGCCCTTCACAGCTCCGGTCACCTTGCATATTACTCATTTGGTTTTTTTTTTTTGGTACTGGGGATTGAACTCCGGACCTTGCGCTTGCGAGGCAGGCGCCAGAACCACTGAGCTACATCCCCGGCCCTCACCTTGCATATTGTACCTGGGAATCTGTTTTGTTAATATGCTAAAATAAAGTTTGTCTTAGAAATCCTACACCTGGTTCCTACTCTGCTATATAAATAAGGCCAGGATCAAGTACCCCATGTCAGCAGCTGCCCGCTGGGCCCTCTATGAAATGTGTTTGCACTGCTGCCCCAGGGCCACTGAGGAAGAAGAGTGTGTGCAATGTGTAAGTGCTTCCCATCTCATTTTAGCACAAAGCGGTTAATTGTGGATGTCATCCGCTTCCAGCCAGGGGAGACCTTGACTGAAATCTTGGAAACACCAGCCTCCAGTGAACAGGTAGAGTTTCAGGTTTCACTTACCTTTCATGGATGGCTAGGCATATCCCCGGGTTAAAGGAGGGGGATATGGTTAAAGAAGTGCTTGTAACCTGGAGTGAGTGTGGATTTAACCGGAAAGCAGTGATGGATAGAGCTTGTCTAACAAGTAGTTGGTTCCTAAATCCAAAAGATGGTGTGACAAGCTGGCTCCCTGGCACTTTGGGGTAGGGGGCGACAACAGGCAGAGAGAGAGACAGAGTGACTGAGAATGAATATGAATTTAACTGGGGCAGATTCAGTGAGTCTAATAATTTACTGAGTATTTTATAGTTGGAATTATATTAAATACCTTGGTATATAGAAGAAAAGTACAGAGTGTGACTCCTAAACTTAATGGACTCTAGATCCTGTTGGGGAAATGTGACACATATACTGGAAGCAATGATCCAGTTGTCTAAAGTTAACTCTGATGTTGGAGATTCTAAGAATGACAGGTGTTTCAGGAGAGGACAGTGAGGAGTGGTGCATGAGGAAGCCTGAGCCACACTTCTGGGCAGGAGCACCCATGGGAACAAAGGTGCAGGGAGCGGGTAGTGCAGTGGGGTTAGACCATGCCTCTGGAAGAGATGTGGACAAAGGGGATCGGTGAGAACAGTCACAGACCGAGGGATTTAGAATTCAAAAGCTAAAAGGAATTTGGCGCTGCAGGGATAAGGATAAAGACCCTTTCCAAGTCCTGGGGCCGTCTCATTTTGATGAATTGGGCAGTGTTGTCAGAGCCCATGGTGGCTGAGTCATCTAAGATGTGTGATAAATTCCCAGAGCAAAGGGTGGGAGGAGGGAAGGTGTAGCAGTGGCAGTGGCTGGTGACTTCGTGTTTAGTACTTGTTTCATTTGTCAGATGAGATATTTGGTCAAGCCATTCATTTTCAAGTTTTAAGCATGGGAATCAACTTTATGAAATGACAACTTATATAAAAACCTAGTATATAAAACATGTCATACTGGAGCTGCTTGGTAGCTCCAGGCACCTGCAGGCCAGGCCTCTAGGACTCTATGGTCCCTCTGGAAACCCTTAAGGCTCCACTGGGGACTATTTGAAAATCGCTGTTGTAGATGAATTCACATCTTTCGGATGCTATGAGTGGTGGCTGATTAGATGTGTGTGAGGGACAAGAGGTATAACAGTAACCCATGCATTTACCCTGGAAGAGATTTGAAGTAGGGAGGGAGGAACGAGTCTTTATTGAGTGTCTCCATCTTAGATTTAATCCATGCACTATCCCTAGTAAGTCTTTTCATTCCCGTTTTATAGATGAGGAAATCAAGACTCTTGCAGGTTAAATAGCTTGCCTGAGATCATGGGCTCATAGTGGCAGAACCAGACTTGGGTCCATTCTTTCTGACTTCAGAGCTTCACTCTGAACTGTATGATGCAGTATCATCTTGAAATGAGAATGAAGGGGAATATTGGGAAAAAGGGAACCATACTAGTTTGGGAGGAAGTATGAGTTTGAGCTGCAGGTCATTGCAAACACAGCATCCCCTTATAAACTATTCAGAATATGCTGCTGAAGCCTTAGACAGGAAGCTATGGAATCTCTCAGCATAGGGTGATCACTGGAGTGTTAAGAGTAAACAGAGAAGTAGCCACAGGTCACTCAGAAGCAGCAAGTCCACACTTAGAGCAAGAGGGAAATGCATTGCAGATGAGCAGGATGACAGCTAGGATAAGACCTTGGACTCAGGGCAAGAAATGGGAATTAGAAATGAGCAGTAGATCCTGAGGTCAGATTGCAAGTTGTTAAGACAGTACTCAAAGAAAGGAGGACCAAGTGTAGACCGGATGTTGGGCAAGGATGTAAGAGAAAGACAAGTGGCAACAAGGAGAGGTGGCAGAATCGGGAGGATTTGGAGCATGTCTGAAAACAGAGGGACAGCCAAGCATGATTGAGCCTGGACAAGATGGGAGAAACAAGGAACAGGGATTTAATGAGCACTTGTGTTGGTGTAGTTAGTTACAACACTCACAGAGCCATGTTTTGTTATAATGCAATACCCTCTGTATCCCAAAATGTGGTGGGACAGAATAAAAGATTTTGTAGCCAGTAGAATGCCTGGAGCCCTGGAAACTGAGGCAGTGGTGGTTTCCTGGAGGACCTCTCTTCTGGGTGGGAGGTCTGTACTGCTTCACACAGTTTCTCGTTTGGTCTCTACTAGGAGAGCAACGTTCGTTCCCCCATTTTCAGGGTAGAACTGGACAACCTTGTGAGTCCAGCTGCAGCGATGCTGTGTGCATCAAAGCTTAGGGTGAGTGTGGCAAACTTGCTGAGAATATGTCATCCTCGTCTGCAGGAAGCAGAGCATCAGCGGGTCATGCAGAGACGCGCCATCCGGGATGCCAAAACTCCCGACAAGATGAAGAAGTCCACATCTGCAAAGGAAGACAACAACCTCTCTCTCCAGGAGAAGAAGGAGAAGATCCAGACTGGCTTAAAGAAGCTCACAGAGCTTGGGACTGTGGACCCAAAGAACAGATACCAGGAGCTGATCAACGACATTGCTAGGGTATTGCCTTGGGGACAGGAATGGCCCAGCCTTATTTAAAGCTGTTTTAGAACAGCTGCTCAGACCACAGTTTATCTTTGATTCCTAGGAGATTAGTGCCCTCCTCTCTGAGAAGCTGTTCTTGACTCTTTCTGGTCCTGAAGTAGCTTTTTCCATGGCCTAAATGTATAGGGACAAGACTCTACCTGACGTTTCCTGTGTCAAAATTTAATCTTTGGCCATAAAGAAGTCTTTTTTTTTTTTGGTACCGGGGATCGACGTCGGGTCCTTGCGCTTGTGCAGCAGGTGGTGAAACCACTGAGCTAAATCCCCGCCCCCAAGAAGTCTTCATTACCAAGCATGGTAGCTTCATATTTTGTAATCCCAGCTACTCAGAAATCTGAAGCAAGAGGATCACAAGTTTGAAGCCAGCCTGGGCAATTTAGAGAGATAGTCCAAAAATGTTAAAAAATGTCTGGAAGCTGGGCGTGGTGGCATATTCCTGTGATCCCAGCACTTGGAAGGCTGAGGCAGGAAGATTGTGAGTTTGAAACCAGCATGGGCTACATAATAAGTTCAAGTCTAGCCTGTACTGCATAATTAGATTGTCTTAAGGGGGGAGACAGGTGTTGGGGGGATCTTCAGATCTTTTTCATACTTACTATGAAATGCAAAGTTGATTATCAGATCCTTGATTTGTGTGAATTATTTCAAGTGAGGGGCTCCAGTGTGAACTGAGAATTTTAGGTGCCCTCTGTTACTGCACTAAGATAATGTCATGCACACCCAAGAATTTGGTAATTAATGTATTATAATTGTTTTTTTCCTCCCCTGCCAACATATTTAAGAATTTTAAGCCTGCTTTGCATTTTCAGTTCTAAAAATGTTGAAGTCTGAAAGTAGTCTGTTTCCCCATTGATAGAAGATACAAATGGAATAAGGTCTGAAGTTTGTAATTTGTGACCCCAGATTGCTGCCTGTTAAGGATGTGTGGTTATAGGCCAGACTTGGTGGCACATGCCTTTAATCTCAGCACTCAGGAGGTTGAGGCAGGAGGATTGCCAAGAGTTTAAGTCCAGCCTGAACTACATAGCAAGACCCCATCTTAAAATTAAAAACAAAAAACAAAAAAAAAAGATACACGATCATGTTCAAGGCAGCATTAAGCATTGCTAGGTTCTAGTGCTAAATAAAAAATGACAAAGCAGCACATGGTAGCTATCATTATTTTCTTTAATAATTATGTTGCAGGATATCCGGAATCAGCGGAGATACCGACAGAGGAGAAAAGCTGAACTTGTGAAGTTGCAGCAGACCTTTGCTGCTCTGAACTCTAAGGCCACCTTTTATGGGGAGCAGGTGGATTACTATAAAAGCTACATCAAAACCTGCTTGGATAACTTAGCTAGCAAGGGCAAGTGAGTATTTCTTTCTATCAATCAAGGGAAAGAATTAGGGTGGGAAAAAGGAAGTAGAAGCAACTGAAGTGACATTGAAGATTTTCGCTTTAAACACTCTTGATCTCTATGTTGCATTAGTTCTCTACTTTGCTTCTAGTTATTTGCATAATTGTGGGGTTCCACTTGTTAGTATGTGGCATCAATAATGTCTGTAGGGTTTCTAAGCGTCCCTTGTCCTAAATATCTTCTTGGCCATAGAAATTAAAGAATCATGGAAGTAGATCATCTCACGGTCCTAAAAGGTAGATATGCTTCAAAAGTTCCTAAGGAATATTGTAGGAGTTTAGGGTCCCTGGCCCCTGGGGATAAGCTCACAGACCCTGACAAAGGTCACTTGGTGCTGGTCGAAAATCACCAGCATGGCCATTTAGAGGAAGCACCCTGAAATCCCAGCAGTGAGGTGCCAAGTGCAGGTACTGTATGTAAGGTTAGTTATTGACACCTAACATCTGAAGCATGGAGCAGTGCTGCACACCTGTAATCCCAGCACTTAGAGAGGCTGAGGCAGGAGGATTGCAAGTTGGAGTTCCACCTGGGCAATTTAGCAAGACCTGTCTCAACATAAAGAAGATGGGATATAGCTCTATAAAGCAACGCTAGGTTAAAAAACAAAACAAATGAATAGAACAATGAACATCCACATTCCCTTACATCAGTTTTTAATGCTTTGTTGCCTCTACTTCCCCTCTCTGTGGCTTGAGTACTCTTTTTCTCTCCCTCCCTAGAAGAGTCCCTGGGGTGAGGCAGGGCTGATACTGAAGGGACAGAACCAGGCCACCTAGCTCCACTGTGGAGCTGGCCCGTCTCCCTTCAACATGTCCCATCATTCTCTGTACACTTCAGGTTCAGCATGCAGTTTACCCTCCCCCAGCCTGGACTGAACTATTTCTTCAAGCATGTCCGGATCCATTTAGTAAAGAATGGTATTTAGAAACCAAAATATAGCAAAAAGGTACACTTGTTGCCAGAGTCCTATTTGTTTTTAGGCATTCTAAGCAGGCATAGCTAGGTCTTCCTTTCTTTTTAATGGATACATGGTATTCCACTATATAGACACATAAAACACTATATACTAATCAGCTTTTCATTTGATGAACGTGTTTCTGGTCATTATTCTAAAAAATTCTGCAACAACGTGTACATTTGCAAATGTGGATTTATTTTGAAAATAAATTCCTAGAAGTGGAATTGCTTGGTCTGAAGTTTTGTGCAACTGTAATTTTGATATCTTCAGTCACCTTCTGTGAGGATTATTCCCATTTTACACTCCTGCCAGCATTTCTGCCCCATTCCTTGAAACCCTTCTCTCAGGTGTCCCAGATCCCTGGATCTCATTTCTGCCATTCCCTTGATTCTCCCACTTCTCCCTCTGATTAACCCCAAAGCCTCCTACCAACTATTTCTTTCTCGTGACTCCCATTCTTCTATAATTCCTGTGCTGATTTAAATTCTGACAAAGTATGGATTTAAAGATACTTTTTCCCTTTCTTGTGGCGGGGGGTGGGGTGGGGGGGGGGGGTGCAGGGATTAGCACCTTTGCCTCAGGCTGGCCCCAGAGGCTCAGTGCTTGCTCTGGATCAGGCAGGAAGACCATGTAAAGACAGAAGCAGTGTAGTTTTCCGTTTTGCAAAGATTGACTCTACTGATCCTGACATTTGTTTGCTATTTTAGAACTGGTATGAAACTTAAGCTTATGAGTTTTCCAACCTCATAGACAACACAGGCTCCTAGCAGACAGTTACTTACAGAAAGTGCTATCATGTGATTTCTTACAGGGTCTCCAAAAAGCCTCGGGAAATGAAAGGAAAGAAAAGCAAGAAGATTTCTCTGAAATACACGGCAGCAAGACTGCATGAGAAAGGAGTGCTTCTGGAAATCGAGGACCTGCAAGTGAATCAGTGAGTAGCTTCTTGTTCACTTTGCTTTATAAGGTGACTTTCATTTTTGCAGTCATCACATCTTTGTCTTCTTTCTTTTCTCTCTTTCCTGCCAACCACTGTATATTTTGTATATATTCCTGTGTAGTTTATATTCAGAATTAGGCCTGTACACAGATAATGTATCTGTCACAAGCAAGAATATATTTTCTTGTTTGTGGGCATTGGTGTCATTTCCTTTTTGTGGAATATATTCACCTCTGTTTGCCTCCATCCTGTCTTCATTTTTCCTTTTTAAAGCAGGAAGCCACTCTTTCTATTTCTCCAGAATCTGAATCCAGAATCAGTAAGGGTAACAAGAAGCAGCATTTATTGTATTGCACCTCAGCGGGGACCCAAGGACTCGCCTTCCCTCTCCTTTCAGGGAAGCATCCACTGGTTTTGCCGGTGGTCAGTGGATCTGACACAGCCTCCTGCAAGTCCTGACCCAGCAGAGTATCCAGGCCTTGATTGAGCATTCACTCAGTCTGACTGTGACCTCGGGAGGCTGAGCTTTCTCCTCTTGTATTTGTTTAAATAAGAAAGTTCCAGGGGCTGGAGATTTAACTCAGTGGTGCCACTGCCTGCCTGGCAAGCACAAGGTCCTGAGTTTGATCCCCTGTACCAAAAAAAGAAGAAAGAAAGGAAGGGGAAGGGGAAGGAGGGAGGGAAAGAAAGGAAAAGGAAAGAAAGAAAAGAAAAGAAAGAAAAACTTCCAGGACCTAAGGTTGTTGCTCAGTGGTAGAGCTCTTGCATAGCATACACAAGGGTCTGGGTTTGATTCCCCAGCACCACAAAGAAAGAGAACATTTTGCATTTTTCTGATTCTAAAATATGTATTTATTATTGAACTTAGAAAATATGGTGAAATATAAAGGGAAATTAAAAACTTGTAATCTTATAAATCATTTAAGTATATTTTCTGCTGTGGCTCTGTTCACATAAAAATTATATATCTACCCACTTACCTGCTGAATCTACCACTTATTCTTTTTTTTTTATTTTAAGTATCAGGGATTGAACTTGGGTCGTTGAGCTTGCACAGCAGGCGGCAAAACCACTGAGCCCTTGCCCAAATTAGGATGTTTTTAATGTCATATATCTGACATTTTTTCTGATAACATATCATGAACATTGTTTTTTTGGTACTGGGGATCAAACTCAGGACCTTGCACTTGCGAAGCAGGTGGTGGCACCACTGAGCTAAATCCCCGGCCCACTCTTCATATTTTTGAAAGCATCTTTTTAAATGGATACATGATATTCCCTATTTTAACCTATTGTGGAAACAAATGGATTTAGCTTTTTCTGTTATTACACTTGTCATGACACCTTTCTGTGTAAATCTTTGATCCTACTTTCGCTGCTTTTTTTTTTTTTGGTACCAGGGATCGAACTCGGATCCTTGTGCTTGCAAGGCAGGTGGTAGAACCACTGAGCTAAATATCCGGCCCACTTTTGCTGCTTTTTGAGATGGAATCTGGCTGTGTTGCCTCGGCTGGCCTCAAGCAACCTCCTAAGTAGCTGGGATTTCTGGCATGATTATTCTTCCCCCAGTAGAGGATACCTCCAGAAATTGAATCTCTGTTCAAAAAGAATAAAAGAATTCTCTTACTGGGCCAGGGATTTAGCTCAGTGGTTTTGCCGCCTGCTGTGCAAGCGCAAGGACCAGAGTTTGATCCCTGGTACCAAAAAAACAAACAAAAAGAATTCTCTTACTGTAAAAATATATAACATAAGATTTGCTATCTTAATCAATTTGAAAGAAACAGTTCCTTAAGTTCAGTGTGTTCACAGTGCTGTAAATGAATCCCTGGAAGTTATCCAGCACTCTGTGCCCCTTAAATAGCTGCTCCCTTCTCTGCTCTCTGAGCTTAACTACTTTATTGACCTCATCTACGGGGAATCACACACTGTTTGTCTTTTGTGGCTGGCTTGTTGCACTTAGCATAATGTTCTCGTGATTTGTCCATATGACAGGATTTCCTTCCTTTTTAAGGCTGACTAATATTCCATTGTATGCACCACATTTTGTTTACCTACTCCTCCTGCTGATGGGCACATGGGTGGTTCCTACTTCTTGGCCATTGTGAACAGTGCTGCAGCCAATGTGGGTGTGCAGACATCTCCCTCAGGCCTGCTTGCAACTCTTTCCACACATGCTGGGAAGTGGGATTGCTGGGTCATACAGTAGTTCTAGTTTTAAGTTTTTGAACTTAATACTGTTTTCCAAAATTGTTGGAAAACTGTTAAACTCAACATGTATTGTCAAAAATTTTTCACTGATGTCTGAAGTATGTATGAAGTGGTCATCTTACTACTTCTTGCCTTCATTGAATAAGGTAATTTTTGTTTTTTAATCATTTTTTTAAAATCCCTTTCCGGGCATAATGGCGCATGCCTGTAATCCCAACACTTAGGAGGTTGAGGCAGGAGAATTGTCATGAGTTCATGGCCTCCTGGGCTACATTGGAGATCAACGCCAGCCTGAACTACATAGCAAGACCCTGTCGGAAAAGACCAAAAAAAGAAAAATCCTTCTGAAATTTTCACTTCTTAGATTTCTAGTTGAGTTGTTTGATTTTTAGGGCATAGTGTTATTTATTTATTTATTTTTTGGTACCGGGGATCGAACTCGGGCCCTTGCGCTTGTGCAGCAGGCGGCGAAACCACTGAGCTAAATCCCCGGCCCTAGAGTGTTATTTTTTAAATGTAGATTATTATTTATATTTTCTCTGGTCAGTTTTTCAACCTTAGTCTTTCTGCTTTTTGTTCGTTTGCTGGGGGTTCTTTTGGTTGAGCACTCACTGTCTTACATATCATCTCTCCCCTTCTCTGTGTCATTAGTTTCCATTGCAGTTCAAGTGCTGTCTTGTTTACCTCCCTTTTTCTCATTTGCTACTGTGGGCTTAGAAACCACATAACTGACCAAATCCACTAGCAATCACATAAAACAACACCCCTAAGAGGTGACTCGAGGTGGTGCGTAGTATGCAGGCTCATTTCGGGGCACAGGTTCCCGCGAGCCCTGTCTGACCTCTACACCTTCACACTTATGTGTTCACGGAGGTGATTCACTTTCGTGCTTAGGGGGTGGAAATTTGGGGTGTATATCTGCCTGACAAGCACCGTAACCCACCTCTGTGCTGTACTGTAAAGCCTCCTGACATATGCCGTGTTGAGTAATACAGTAACAGCAGTTTCTCTGATTGGACTCAGTGCCTTTGAATATACTGCATCTCTCTGCAGAAACCACTGGGTCCTGTTTTGGTGTGTCCAGACATGCATGCTGTGCCACACCCCTTCCACCCTGTCCTCCTTTAGTACATTTCAGCCGTGACCACACGGAGGCCAAGGGAGCTCTCTGTGTCCTCCTTCCAGGCAGTAGAGTTCAAGTGCTGCAGACAGGTTGCCACTCATCCCTCTGGGTCCCAGCACCAAGGGTCCTGAGCCGTGGTGGTCCTATGCTGAACTATCTGCGCCAGGACTCCAGGCCTGCACTTCTGACCCTTTTTCCCCTGTGAAGACTCACTCACCCCCTTCCCCATGCGTACGGTATTGTTACTGAGAACATACAGAACATGCCTGTGTGTTGTTGTGTTTCAACAGGTTTAAAAATGTTATCTTTGAAATTGGTCCAACAGAAGAAGTTGGAGACTTTGAAGTGAAAGCCAAATTCATGGGAGTTCAGATGGAGACCTTTATGTTACATTATCAGGTGGGTGTGCACCAGGGAGAGCTGGCAGTGCTCTGAGGGAGGTGCTTGGCTCTCCTTGGAGAAGGGACAGAGACCCAGAGGGGAAGCCATCCGAGCACAGCAGGCTCAGCTCCGCCAGGGTTTCCAGGTGTCCAGTTTGGCCTGTGCGCCCTGGACAGAGGTGATAACCTCAAACTTGAATGAAAGATTAATACAGTGTCAGCAAGCTAGAACTGTCATAAGCCTTTCAGTGGCTTGAATTCTTTTTTTCTCATTTTAATTTGATATACCTAAAAGTTTGTATGTATTTCTGACAAGGTATATGTAAATTGGATCCCATCTTAAATTTAAAAGAAGAACTCTGAATTGGATGTGGTGCCACACACCTATAGTACCAGCACTCTAGGAGGCTGAGGCAGAAGAACTGAAAGTTCAAGCCCAGCTTGGGCAACTTGGGGAAATAAATAATAAAATATGAAAAAGGGCTAGGGATGTCCCTCAGAGCAAAGGTCCCACTGTGGCGGGGGGAGAGACTCCTGCCATTTTGTAGCATAATTATCCCTAATTTGTTTTTTTGAACTAAGTTTTGCACATTGAAGAATAGCAGTGCACTGAGAGGATTCCTAAGCAAATGTGTAAATTCTTTCAGCTTTGCCTTATGTGGTCATTTATAGGCCCCCATCACACCCTCCACTCCCCCATGCATCTTGGGTGAGCACTGTACCATCGAGTCACACCCTGGCCCTTGATGCTCTTCCCTTCTCCTTCCTCGCTCTACCTCCCACTGGCATGCTCCATCACATGGGGTGGGCATCTTTTGGATGAATGTGCAGTGCTTTAGTTTCTTTGTTGTCACTGGGAGGAAATACCCAACATTTACAAGTTAAAGGAAGAGGGCTTTATTTTGGTTCAGAGTTTGTAGAGGTTGCAGTCAATGTTTGGCTGGCTCCAAAGCAGGCCAGGATGGCAGAGAAGCATTTCGGATGAGAATCAGTTCATAGCTTGTCAGCAGGAAGCAAAGAAAGGGGTCAAGGGAGGAGGAAGGACATGACCTTTCAGGCCATGCCCCCAGTGACCAGCTCTTCCCACCAGACTTCCCTGCTAACATCACACCCAGCTATAAACCCATCAGCAGGCCAATCTAGTGATGACTGTCATGCACCCATGATCCAGTAACAGCCCCCCACCCCCAAGCACATGAGGCTTGGAACATCTAGATCTAAGCCATAACAGTGCATCCAAACTTTTTTTTTCCTTCTGTACTGAAGATTGAATCCAGGGCCTTTGCACTGAGTTCACATCCCCAGCCCTTCCTTTTTTATTGTTTGTTTTGAGACAGTGTCTGGCTAAGTTACTAGATTGACCAGGCAGAGCTCAAATTTGTGATCCTCCGGCTTCAGCCTCCCAGAGTGCCAGGATTATGGGCATATGCCACCACACGTGGCTGCATTTGGCTTTTGTGCATGCTGCTCCTCCTCGGGTTCCCTTTCTCCCTTTCCACCCCACTTAGTTCCATCGGATAATGAATCCATCCATGCCTATGTGTTCCCATCCTGAAGCCTCCCTGACCAAGCCACAGTCTCTGGTCTCCCCTGTGCTGCAGCAGCCCGGAGATGTCCTCTGTTTACAGAGCATCTTGACTCATTTCCCTCCTGTCTCAAAACTGTGAACTCCTTAAGCAGAGGCAGTTTGTCTTAGTCTTTTTCTTCTTGGATATCAGTACACTCAAAGCACCCTAGCTGCCAGTGTGAAATGACTAATGCACATGGCTGGCTAAAGCACTTCCACAAAAAGACCCGCTATCCCATTTCTCCTGGCATCTAGAGGCCAGCCAGCCTAAGGCAGCTTCACCCTCGTGCCCAGCTTCATCCCACATGGCATGATACAAGATGACGGGTTGGGCACAGGGACACCGCACCATCCTCACTCACCTGAAGATGCTGGGTTTTCCCCAGATAACTGACTGAGCCTTTGGGATCCCTACAGGCCCTTTGACCCTTGCTTTCCCTGTAGGATTCCCAGAGGGGTCAGAGTGCAGAGGCCACACCAGCCCCTCACCATGCTCCACACAGTGGAGGGTGGTGGGAGGCAGCAGCCTTGGAGTGGGGGTGGGGGGGTCAGGCTCATGCTGACTCATGCTGACCCCTTGTTGGGATCAGACCAGCGCTGTTCTGGGCTTGTCATTCACGTCTCTGAGCCCCAGGAGAGGAGCTCCTCTTAGGGTTGGAATGATTATACTCCATAGGATCGCTGTGAGAACGTAAAAAGACCCTATTAACATGTGTACACAGGGCTGAGCTTGGGATTGATTCCTAATAAACGGTTAGCACTCTTCTTTCCTTGCCTTCAAAGTAGAAAAGCTTGCACATGTGAAAGAATCTAGGAGAGAAACTGAGGATGCAGCGCAGTGGTAAAGTCCAAGGTTAATATGCAGGTGGCCCTGGGTTCAATTCCAAGTATCACCAAAAAACAATTCAAATAGGTGTTATTGAAACATTACTAGCCTTGTCTCTCTGTTTTCAGTTGAGATAGGGTCACACTATGTATTCTAGGCTGGTCTTGAAGTCAGTAATCCACCTGCCTCAACTTTGCGAATCCTGGGATTACAGGCATCCACCACCATGCCCAGCATCATTTTTCAATAATTAGTACATTTCATTATGAATTGAAGTAAGCCTGTAATTTCAGCTACTCAGGATGCTGAGGCAGGAGGATCACAAGTTCGAGGCTAGCCTGACCAACTTTGTGAGACCTTGTCTCAAAATTTAAAAAAATTTTTTAAAGTAAAATGGCAGGGCCAGGGATTTAGCTCAGTGGTTCTGCCACCTGCCTCACAAGTGCAAGGACCCGAGTTCAATCTCTGGTACCAAAAAAAAAGAAATGAAATGACTCTACTTTTTCTAGATTTATTAAAACTGGTGATGGGGCCAGGGATTTAGCTCAGTGGTTCTGGTGCCTGCTTCGAAAGCGCAAGGTCCTGAGTTTGATCCCCAGTACCAAAAAAACTGGTGAAATGTCACTAACTTCTGAAATTTAAAAAAATATTTTCTTCATTTGGTACTGGGATGGAACACAGGGGCTCATGTGTGATAGGCAAGTGTTCTAGCACTGAGCTATACCTCCAACCCCCTGAAATAAAAAGGCTTATATCACACACTAGCTTCTTTTTCTTTCCATGTTTGGTGTATCTTACACACGAAGTGGCTCACCAGTGCCCAGTTACCCGCATGTGCCCTCTTGATCTTGCTCCAGGGCGCTTGAGTGGGGCAGGTCTGTTGCTGGCAGCTTTGGTTTTGCCCACCTGATACCAGCCACACGAGGTGCGGCTCAGTCCTGGATCCCTCCCTGCACTGTGTCTTTTCTTCTCTTGTTCCATAGACTTGATTTTTTTTTTTTTTAAACAGGACCTGCTGCAGCTACAGTATGAAGGTGTTGCAGTCATGAAGTTATTTGATAGAGCTAAAGTAAATGTCAACCTCCTGATCTTCCTGCTCAACAAAAAGTTCTATGGGAAGTAATTGATCATTTGCTGCCAGCCCAGAAGGACAGAGGGAAGAACCTCTTAGAGCCCCTTCTGGGATCTCTCTTTGCTCACTGGAAGCCAGCACCAGCACATAATGATGCCTCAGTCTGATGCCTCCCAGCACCTCATTTTAACTCCTGTCTCTGGTGGGACATTCGCCGCCCTCTTTTCACAGTGAAATTGTGTTTTGGGCTTAGTCGACCTTCTGGTGCCTTCATTTTTCTCATACTTAGGAAAAAATGGAAACCCCACCAAAATCCTCTGTGATTGCAGCCTTTGAAGCAGTTTTGCTGGCCTGTAAGCTTTGATGTTTGTTTTACTCAGCAACAAGGACAGTGGAATTCAAATTCTCATCACTTTGAAGTGGGCACTCTTAGCAGCAACATGGACACATAATAAAATGTCAGGTTAGCAGTGGTTACTCAGTTGTCCTCTGGAAGTGAACCTCCTTTATATTTCTGTCCCATCACTAAAGTCAGAAGATATAGCAGATGGTTGATTCTCACTATTCTGTTTTCCTTTGTGGGAAGCAGCTAATGTAAGTCACTGTATTCCGCTATTGAAATGAAGCAGTTTTAGAGGGGGGAAAAAAAGAGATAGCATTTTTAAAATTTCACCATCAGATTTGGGCAATGGTGTTAGTGTGACACCCCCAGCAGTGCACGAGAATGGCCCAGTGATCTTGTTGAGCTGGTTTCGTGGATTGGCATAGGACTGGGTGCCTGCCTGTTTCTAGAGATTAACTCCATTGAAGGACACGGCCCACCCATCACTGCAGTAAAGCACTGGGCCTTAGGGTAGAATATAACGGTTCTCAAGTCTGTTCTGTGTCTTAAGATTGCCTTATAAAAGCATAGATTTATTTCTTAAAATGTGATAGAAATTTTAAAGATTTATGTAATGCTTCAAAAGCCTTTAGAATATTTTGAGAAAAAAGTTTAAAAATTGGTTTATCTGTATATTTGAACTCTTGAAACTTTCTTAGTCCTGAAACACTAGGATCTATCTGCAGAATTGCAGAAAGAATCCTGCCTTAAATAGCTAAAACAAAAACAGCCAACCGGTGTTATACTTGACATTAAAATCAAAATTTCTTCCTGTTTCTTTTTTCTTGCTGCCCATATTTGTGCCTTTATTTTATGAACCTAAATTTTCTAGGCTTCATCAAAGACAGTTTAGTTCTAAATGTTGAATTTAGAAAGCTTTTGTTCTTGGAAAAAGTAATAAACTTTTTTTTAAAAATCTGTTTATCCAGGAAAATAGATTGAAATCATGCCACTGAACCTCCATTTTCTCTGATGTTTTGGTTCAGTATTCTTTTATCATAAAACTTTAAAATCTAGAATTTAAAAATGTACTGATATATTTAAGGCCAATAAACTTTTAATTAATAATGAACCATGTGGTGCATCCCTGTTAAACAACCGCAAGTCTTGGAGAAATGGCTTTCGTCTGCATATCCTGATGTGGGTGCAGGCCACAGAAAGGAGCCTGTGGCACTACCCTGACCTTGGTTTTGTTGTGTTTGGGAAAACAATTTTTTTAATAAACATTTCCCCATCATCAACTCAAAAACCGGTACTAACAAAAGTATGTAAACCCTTTTCCTCAAAAGAGTACACCCATCCCAAATGCTTGTCCCCAGCGCCACCTCCAAGTTGGTAATGACCAAAGTTTACAACTCCTTTAATAGAATAGGGTGTTTCAGTTACTTGTCAGGATTATACTGCCCTGAACACAATTTCTAATGCAAAATAGCCTCAAAAGAACGTTAAGAAGTTTGATGATAACCCTATAAAATTAGAGATTGCCCCAACAGGCACTGAAGCCTGTCGAGCCATATTTGTCAGCTGTCCTGTTCTGTCTCATCCTCTCCTCCTCTGACCTTCTCTGTGATCAGCCATCCTGACATTTACCATGAATTTACTTCCTCCCAAGGATTCAACTACCCCTCAGGTTGTTCCTACACACAATTGTCTTTGTATCTCTGGATGAAATAAAAGGTCATTTGTTCCTGTGTTTGTGTTTATTTTTCGGTTTCATTGTCAGCAATTCCCACTAAACAGTGTTGATCAGATTGAGATTTAATTACTAAAAACCAAAGCAGAAAACAACTCCTATAGGCTTTTAAAGGAACAAACAACCACATTTGCTATCAAATCACAGAATATTTCAGTGACCTTTATTTTTATTTATTTTGGTTTTTTTGAGACAGGGTCTGCCTATGTAGTTCAGGCTGACCTGAACGCACAATGTAGCTAGCCCAGGCTGCCCATGAACTCTGGCAATCCTCCTGCTTCATCCTTCCGAGTGCTGGGGTGATAGTCCTGCGCCACCACACCTGGCTCTTCAGTGACTAATGTGCCAGTTTGGCCATTTATAATTTATTACCATTAGAGGAGCTGTCATGTAAAAAGAAGGGAGGGGCTTACCGATACCGCTTGCTTCTGATTGGCTGAGGGCTGAAAGTTCAAAATGCCCGCGGAGCTTCACGCTGTGCTGGACCCGGCTCCATCCCCGTGGCCCCTGGAGGGCGGCTCTATCTGCGAGTTCCCAGAGAAGATGAGGGCAAGGTGGAAGTGAAAAGAAACGGCAAGAGCAAAGAGGGAGAGGCAGCCTCAGCGGGCAGCCTGTCCTGAAGACATAGGACGAAGGACTTTTCGACGAGGCCTCCTGTGTCCACTGTGGTAAAGTGGAGGTCTGGGTGGATCCCAGTGACACCAATTCCATCAGCAGGTCCAGAAATTGATGGAAGATGGGCAATCATCCATAGTCCCGCGACTGTCCCCAGGCTCAGTGCCACGACACAGCTCGCTGGCCAGGGCCCAGGGCGCCCACCGCACAGAGCCAGAAGCAGACATGGGGGGACCGGGCGTGCGGGTACCTGCAGGCTGCTCAGAGGACTCGGGTCTGAGGAGATTGACCTCATGCTCAGCACAGCCTGTACCCAGAGGCAAAGTGGAGCCGGGGGACACAGCCATAGTGGACGGCAGAGGAGCCTGTGGGCCTAAGGACAAGCACCAGCCACAGAGGACACGAGACGAAGCTCCCTGCCTGTGCATGGTGACCAATGTGGTCACACAGTCACTGAGATAAGCCTTTATCCACTGGAAAACAATACATGTACATAAGCATTGTTGTGTCTGTAAACTGCCCAAACCATGTTAGAAAATTAGACCTACATGACAAGTTGGAAGTGGCGGTTTGTGAGTGGCTGCAGGGGACACCCCGTTCAGCCTGAGAAGTGACCCAAGATGGTGGCTTTCCTGGCCAGTCCTGAGCCTCGGTTTCTCATCGTGAAACAGCTGCAGCTACGGTGGGTTTGTTACTGAAAGCTGACGTGTGTGTTAGCGACAGTGCTGCACAAAAAAATAAAGGAAAGAAAATTACCTGGTTTGGAAAAGGATTAATTATCCAGTCATTAGATCATCTACCTTCCCAGAACTTGGGAAGGAGACAAGGGCTTTATCATGACTTTTTAAGTGACTGTTAATTACACTCATAACCCTTTGACTTCAAGACAGCTTATTTCATTCAATACACTGCAGATGCCTCAGGAAGAGAGAAATAATAATCCTTTAGCACTGCAATTTTTTAAAATTATGAAAAACTAATAACAGAGGGAACAGTACAACAAGCTCCCATGTGGTTACCAGCCAGTGCCAACAATTGTCCACATAGGGTCAAATCTATTTTGCTTCCCCTCTACCCACTCCCACCTGAGTTATTCTGATGGTGCAGGCCTTTGCCCTGAGCTACATTCCTAGCCTCCCCCCACCCTCTTTGAGATAGGATCTAAGTCACTAAGTTGGCTAAGCTGGGTTTGAACTTTGGATCCTCCTGCCTCAGCCTCCCGGGAGTGCTAGGATCACAGGTGTGCATCATCATGCCTAGCTTCTAATTTATTTTATATCGATCCTGTAGAATCACACTCTGGGTTTCTTTTTTTTTTTTTTTTGGTAGGGATTGAACTCGGGTCCTTGTGCTTGTGAGGCAGGCGGTGGAACCACTGAGCTAAATCCTCAGCCCTTGGGTTTCTTATTTAAAAAAAAATTTTTTTGAGTCAGGGTTTTCACTGTGTAGTCCAGGCTGGACTTGAACTCACTATGTAACCTAGGCTGGCCTTGAACACATGGCAGTCTTCTGCCTCAGCCTCCTGAGTGCTGAGATACAAGTGTGCACCTCCACACCTGGCTCCAAGTTCTTGTGCATCAGATTCAGTTTCAGTCTTTTGGCAAGAATATTTCAGAATTCCCCTCACAGCACATCAGGTGCTTATCTTTATGTAATATAAAGACTGACTGGATGCAGATATTGCAGCATGACCAGTTCCTTATAATCCTTCCATCCCATCAGGGCCAAGGGTCCAGGCCAGGGGTAGAGCACCTGCCCAGCGTGTGTATAGCCCTGGGTTTGACCCCTAGCACTAAAAAAAGAAAAACAAATTCCCATCAGCTCTTCATCATGTATCACAGGGATTCAGCAGCCATTGCTAATGGCTACCTCAATTTTTTATTCCATTAAGGGTTGCAAAATGGTGATATCCCATCATTCCTACTTCATTATCAGCATGTTTAACAAACTCTTTCCCCTTACCACCTATTTTGTTACTTTGTGGAACATTGATTCTGAAAAAGATGATGAATACTTGATTCTTTTTACCACTTTTCAGAATGAGCTGGTTCCCTAATACCTGCTAAAGGTAACCAATGAGATTGTTTGTTCTGTTTTTGCTTTGATTTGTTTCTTTTGTGGTACTGGGAACTAAACCCAGGACCTTCACACTTAGCTACATCCACCACCCTTTTTTTATTTTGACATAGGGTCTCACCGAGTCACTAAATTGCCCAGGCTTGGCTTGAATTTGCATTCGTCCTGCCTCAACTTCCCAGAGTACAGGGATTACAGGTATGCACCATCACATCAGGCAAGGTTTTGGTTTTTGAAAATCATTCCACACTCTTAAACTTTTAATATTTGATGGCTTTTAATCCACTGTATATTTTTTGGTGCCCCAATTGTCCCCTCTTTGGCCAGCAGAAATGTCTACATGGTGATTGTTGAGTCCTTTCAGCCTGAGCCCAGCAGTCTGGGCCCTTAGTCTTGGGCCTTCAAAATAGTAGATGTCCAGGACCCATAGTTACACCTCTCACCCCAGACCTGAACTCAGCCGTTCTCCAGGAGCCATGCTCTTTGCAGGGGAGAGTGGTATGTAGAGGGTACACTTGGGTGCCTGGGCTGCTCCTGGCAATTAGATTGGTTATTGTTTCTAAGCTTCTTCAAGGAAAAGTGGGGGTGTGACACTTTCTGAGTCCCTAACGAAACAAAAAAGGGCCAGGGATTTTGCTCAGTGGTTCTGCCACCTGCCCCGCAAGTGCAAGGTCCTGAGTTTGATCCCCAGTACCAAAAAAAAAATTTTTTTTTGAGACAAGTTCTTGCTATATACTTCAGACTGTTCTTGAACTCAGTATATTGCCCAGGCTGGCCTTGAACTCCTGGGGATCCTCCTGCCTCAACCTCCTGAGTGCTAGGATTACAGGCGTGTACCACCGTGCCAGGCCAAAACAATTTTTATATAGAATATCTTAATAAATGCAGCTTCGTCAAAGGAAAAAAATGCCTCGATTCATAGCATTTGCCAGTTCTGTGGATTAAGTACTTGCCTATAGCAGACAGCAAGCTACCAACTTGATCAGCTATGTAGTTGGGAAGAGGTGCTGATAATCAGTCTCCCGAGTATAAATAAATTAAAGAGCAAACTCAAGGATACGTCATAGATAACAGGAAACTGGGAGACAGATTTTTCACGAAAGGGAAGGAGACCAAGAGATGGCAGGTCAGGGAGGAAGGGGATGAAAAAGGAATGAAGATGTGTTAATTTACACAAACCAACTCTCCATGATGAGTGTAATCATGTACTGCAAACCGGGACTGACAAAAATAAAAATAAAAATAAATCAGTGCTCCAGCGATGAGGAGGAGAAACTGACAAATTCAAAAGCAAGAAAGGGTGAGAGTGTGGGATGTTAGCAAAGCGGAGGGTCTGGGTGTGGGAGGCTGGGCCCGGACTCTTCTGACCCCTCCACTACCCTCCTCTGGCCCTGAGAAGCTGCTTCCAGGCTGCACATGGACAGGACCTCCACTTCCCCTGTACCTTCTACTCAGCTTTGGCAGTGGGGGTGCTGCCAGGAGACTGGAGGAAGCCACCTCTGCCAGGTCACTGAGAATTTAATTGCCTGCTTCTACCAGAGCCTTCAGGCAGCTCCCCTAACAGTCTCCTCTGCTGCAAACTATCCCTCCCCAAGGCACTCAGGCCTGGGAGCTAAGGCTACCCCTGTAACTAGCCCCAGGGGGTTCTGTTTCCCTCAAACCTACCTGGTCTCTTAATTAACTTCTTCTTAAATTACTCAGTTGGAGTGGCCACCTGTCCCCTGCTGGGACCCTGGCTAATACTCAAGTGAACCAATTAAGGCCTCAGTAAGGGAGAGATTTGGTGGCCTGAACTGAGTTGTTAGGCTGGAAAGAGCAGGTCCAATCTGCATGGCCTGAGAACTTGTCAGAAATTCTCAGCAGGAAAGGTGATGCTTGCCTGGCCGGGTCAACCCAGCATTCTGAGAAGCCGAGGCAGGAGGATTGCTTGTTCAAGATCACCCTAGTGACTTACCAAAATTTAAAAGTGTCTCCAAAATTTAAAATAAATAAATGAAGAAAGCCTTTGGGAAGGCTCTGTATTTCATTCTCAGTGCCAAAAAAAAAAAAACAAAAAACCTCTCAGCTCTGTGGCAGACTTGCTGAATCAGGATTCAGAAGTGCAGCTCAGCAATCTGTTTTTCGGTTTTTGGGGTTTTTTTTTGGTACCAGGGATCGAACTCCGGACCTTGTACTTGTGAGGCAGAAGCCAGAACCACTGAGCTAAATCCCAGACCCCTCAGCAATCTGTTTTAACAAACTCTCTGGTGCCCGGGATGAAATCTAAACTATGAGTGCCGCTGTCTAACACAAGAGAACATTGATTTTTT